CTATATGTTAGACAGAAAGCAGGGAAGGAAAAGCAGAAGTTTAAGTGTGGTCAAGAGGAAATGATGATACCCCACAGCGACCAGAGAGATGAGAAGGCCACCCATTTTCTTCTTCCCAGCTTGCCCAACCCAATATCCTGAAGCAGAACCAACATGGCGACCTCCGGATATCATTAGACTACAGCTCCCACTATTCCTGAAAGTTGCCCATTGTGGTTAGGACTCATGGGAGCTGTAGTTCAAGAACATCTGGAGGACGCTACAATGGCTTCGCATGTGAGAGATCAGCAGTTGAGGAAAACGCTCTCCCTATTGGCAGCCATGTCTTCAGCGTTATAGAACTTGGAGCAAATCAGAGACTACTCTGTTCTTCAAGTGGGGCTCACATCCCTAGCAAATATCTCAGATGCTCTGAGAACTTGGGGTCAAAATAACCTGTGTGACATGCTTCTGTGTGTGTAGCCTCTTCTCTCCACATCTTGAATGTGGGCACACACATCCCGATTTTATATAAATTGGTTTCATTCATTTCCCCCCAGTTCTCCTTTATATGGAGAAACAAGCATGAACCACCATTGTGTATCTCCGGATACGAGGAATACAAATGGTGACAACTAGTCAGGTGATATGTCTCTGAGGAATTTGGAATTTTCCACAAAGGAACAAGGAAATGTTGATATAATGTTTAACATCCCTTTTGTTGTATGTTTGAGTTGACTGTGCATCCAGTCCTTCTCCTTTCTTATCTGATACAGTACAAAGGACTGCAGTGTAGGACCCCCTTCCAGAAATCTGCATTACCAGTGTGAACAGGTTTACCCATGCATGTTAGGCCTCCTTTCCCTCAACTGTCACCTGGGGTAACCATTCCATTGGACTTCCTCAGCAGGAAACCTAGGAAGTGGGGCTCATTCCACCAGCTTTGCCAAAACACTGGCTCTCCCAGGCACCTCCTAACCCTGAACTATGCCAGCTGGTCATTATAACTGTTTAAGAATTGGTGCCTGAATTTGATTTCCCCCCCTCTTCCCTCCCTGTTCACTTTCCCGTATGTGTCATGTGTTTTTTTAGATTGTAACTGTGGGGCAGGGTCTGCCTTGTTTTAATTTGATTGTATGCAATCCACTCTGAGAGCCTTTGTGGCCAAAATGTGTGGCACAAATGCTCTAAAGAAATAAATGCATAAGGGATTGGCCAATCTCCAATCCACACCAATTTTGCATGTGTATTTTAATGAGTCTGTCCTATTTAATTTTCTTATTTAGCTGTGTGTTTTTTCCACGTGGAAATCCATATTTAAATACATACTTAAATGCCCATTGTATCACAAAATATGTATTTTAATATGTATTTTATTTTAATATACACCTTTTAAAATGTGTTTAATTGAGCCAAATTGCATTTGATTGAGTCGACTGGTCTAGATCTCCCAGATTGTTTATGGATTTCTAAAAATGGATTCTGTTATACTCTTATTTTAAAAGGCACTGTTTGTGTGTTTTGTTGCTGTGTTTTGCTATAGTAGTCTTGATAAACCTATACTGTATTTGATGCTTATGGTTTGTAGACCAAATAAACTGAACTCGAAGAAAATGCATTTTAAAAATGCATTTTGGTATTGTTTTTTAGCTGAGAATTGTACTGCAATATTCAGAGAAGTGTGAAACCTGGAGGCTAATTATGCTCTGATCTGTATGCTATATTGGTCTGAATACAGGCCACACTTTTCAGCTAAATCTGACTTGCATAAAACCTGAGTGTGAACCAGAAGCACAGTCTAACACATACATAACCCATGATTTAAGTACAGTGGTGCCTCGCAAGACGAAAAGAATCCGTTCTGGGAGTCTCTTCGTCTAGCGGTTTTTTCGTCTTGCGAAGCAAGCCCATTGACGGGATTAGCGGATTAGCGCTATTAGCGGCTATTAGCGGCTTTTAGCGGCTTTTAGCGGCTTTTAGTGGCTTTTAGCAGCTTATCAGCTTATCGGATAAGCAGATAAGCGGCTTAGCGACTTAGAAAAAGAGGGGGGAAAGGAAAAAAAACCCAGGAACTCGCAAGACATTTTCGTCTTGCGAAGCAAGCCCATAGCAGATTCGTTTTGCGAGGCACCTCCAAAACGGAAAACTCTTTCGTCTAGCGAGTTTTCCGTCTTGCGAGGCATTCGTCTTGCGGGGCACCACTGTAATCTCATTTTAGGGGTTTGGCCTATATTTGGGGACAGCTTATATTTGAACCAATACAGTTTACATTTGAGGGGGTTGCAGATTGAGTCAGTTTGCTTTAAACATGTGAATCAATGGAAATATCCCTCCATTTTGATTTCACATACACATTTCTTTGCACACACAGAGCTATCTATCCCTTTTCAAAATTGATTGGGAAAGCCCTCCTCAGTGGGCGAGTCCCGCATGTGCCTTTAAGCCCCCATGACAACAAGAAACGCTAGAAAAGAAAAAAATGTTGACAGAATTACTTCAAACAAAACAATTCACTTGCGCAAACTATGCTTTTAAAGAGCAACCAGTTCCTTCATTCCACTAGAGATTACAATCTGCAGCCATATTTATTGGGCGTAGTCATGAGGACTCAGTCAAGTCAAAAGATCTACTACATTTAACTATAATATTAAATAATATGTAACTTTCCGAAACACCGTACTTAAGACAGCTAAGAATTTAGGCTATATCCATCCATGATTTAATTCCACTAAAGCAGTAGTTTTCAAACTGTGTTCTGCTGGGGAACCTTGAAGACCCTCTGGGACCTATCAAGGGTTCTTCAACGTGAAGGCCAACATCGGTGGACAAGCTATATTCAGAGGCCCCTTCTTCACTCTACATTTAAAACCATATCATAATGCTTTAAACAGGCGTGGCTTCCCCTGAAAGAACCCTGGGAAATGTTGTTTAATGAGGGTGCTGAGTGTTGCTAAAGGTAAAGGTAAAGTAAAGGTAAAGGGACCCCTGACCATTAAGTCCAGTCGCAGACAACTCTGGGGTTGTGGCGCTCATCTCACTTTACCGGCAGACAGCTTCCGGGTCATGTGGCCAGCATGACTAAGCCGCTTCTGGCGAACCAGAGCAGCGCACAGAAACACCATTTACCTTCCTGCCAGAGCAGTGCCTATTTATCTACTTGCACATTGATGTGCTTTCGAACTGCTTGGTTGGAAGGAGCAGGGACTAAGCAACGGGAGTTCACCCCATTGCGGGGATAAGAACCGCCGACCTTCTGATCAGCAAGTCCTAGGCTCTGTGGTTTAGACCACAGCGCCACCCGCGTCCCACCATTGTTAGGGGACCCCTAGTCTGCTCTCAGAGCTACAATTGCCAGAGTTACCTTGGATGTGGGACTGATTGCTGGAGCTCTGGGAGGGGAACAGGAGCTGCCCAGGATTCTTTGGGGGGAGCCACAGCTGTTAAAAGTAGTACAATACAGCTCTGAATGGATAGTGAAGATGAGGACAAAGAAAGTCTACTTACCAGTACTGATCTTCTGCCGCAATGTACAGCTATAGGGGAGTGTTAGCAGCCGCCCTCCTGACAACTGCTGTTGCCACAGCTTATGAGGCTGGGGAGGAGTGGGGTGGTTATGAGTTTGGGGCTGCACAGATACATCACCCTCAATCTCACTTCACCCCACCCTTGTCCAGGTAAGCTGTAGCATCATCTGTAACCTGAGGGCAGCTGTGCAGTTCTGACCCTCTGGACCAGCCACTAACGGATGTGGCCATATTCGGGCACCTTTTCAATCCACAAAGAGCAACGTGGAGGCTCAGAAGGCCAGAGACTTGTTTCAGCTGAAAGCATACTTAGGTGAGGCTCTCCTGGTTAGATCTCTGGGTGATATGCAATAATATAGCCAAGGATCTCTGACTCCCAGTCATTCGACAAATAGCAACAACTAAAACAATTACGTGCAAAGATCCATCAGCAAGTTGTGCATCTTGGAGCTTTGATGGTCCCCAACCAAAGAGACTTTATGCTTAAGAGTGCAAGGGATTCTGCTGTGTCTGGCCTTGCGCTAATAGCTTATCTCTTCCTTGCCTGTAAAATATGAGTACCATATTTTTCTCTCTATAAGACGCACCAGACCATAAGACACGCCTAGTTTTTGGAGGAGGAAAACAAGAAAAAAAATATTCTGAATCTCAGAAGCCAGAACAACAAGAGGGATCGCTGTGCAGTGAAAGCAACGATCCCTCTTGCTGTTCTGGCTTCTGGGATAGCTGTGCAGCCTGCATTCGCTCCATAAGATGCACACACATTTCCCCTTACTTTTTAGGAGGGAAAAAGTGAGTCTTATAGAGCAAAAAATACAGTATGTATTGGCAACCACCTTCAATCATGTCTGCTGGCCAGTTTTACAGTTTATGTAAGAAACTGATCTGTTCAGTAATTCAGAGGCACATTGATACTTGGGCTTGTGGAACCTGGACAATAACGTTGCAGTGTGGATTCCAGCCACTCCATTCCATTTCTCACCCCAATTTATATGCTCCATCACTCAAAAGGCATTCCAAGGCCATTGAGCGTACTCAGTCGCCACCGGGCTGTATGGGGAAGCTTCTCCCTTAAAGAAAATGCTGCAGACCTCAGGATTCCTCCAAATCTACCTCCTTCTTTTGCAAGGGAGGTGCTGTTTTGGGTACATAAACAGCAGCATTCACAGCCGGTGCACTTGAAATGCAGGAAACAAGCTAAATTTGCAAATCAAGGTCTGAAAGTCTGCTTGCCCTGGAATCCTCTGCAGCATTCAGGACTTTCTTGGAAGATGATGTGTTAATGTGTAAAGTGTTGCCTTACAATAGGAAGTTTAAAAACCACTGCATTAAAGTAGGATGGAATTAACCCAGGATTTTAATTTGGCCTATGATCAATGAAAAATACTACTTCCATCCTAAGGGGAAGATTGGGGGTAAGGAGACCCTCCACTCCAATGAAGAAACATACAAACAACACATACAGCAGCATCAATGTTCAGAGACATATTTTGTTTCTCAAAAACTGCCATCTCCAGCCCTCTCTTTGCAAGCTTGGATCATCTCCCTCGGAGCCTGCTTCCTCTCGGTGACCAAGCCCAACCAAAACATGAAGTCAATGAACCACGTGGTTGGGTTGAAGTTCAAGCCAAGCTCGCTAGCTGAATAATCAAACGGAAAGGTGTGGTGGTAATTGTGGAAGCCTTCGCCTGGAAAACAGAACCCAGAAGGAACAGAGAGTGGGGTCAAAAGGTAGAGAAGAAAAAGAAGTGGGTGGTAACCCCAATGATCAGAAGCAAAAGAAGAGAAGACCTTTAATGTGCGCTAGAAAACAGTTCATTGCAGAAACTTCCATGCTTTTTCAACATTTTGAAAATAGTACGTAGACATCGCTGGTTTCATAATAATTAGAAAGGAACTACTCCATCTTAAAATGCAGTATCTACTACATCCTGGACCCACCTAGTGGGTCCCCCATCCCCAGGTAACTCTTACAAGCCATGATGGTTAAGGGCCAAGTCTACACACAGTAGGATGAATATCTTCCTCTTGTTCACATTGTTGGGTTTGTTGGCATCCATCTGATTCGAGAGACAATGGAGTCTGCCTCCAGGGGTGAACTCAAACTGCTGTGTTGGCAGCACAGAAGTGACCTCCACAAGAAAGTAATAAAGAGACTATCTGGACAGAACTGGATAGAACTGTCTAATTAAAGCAGCAATATAAGTGATGCTTGGACCCCATTTGGAGCTTGAAGTATGGGTACCCCCAACAAAATTTAAAAATCTGGCTGTATAATTTGGAACTAATGTGATTTGGAAATAATGTGATTTGATTGGCCTGTTAATAAAAAAAATTTTTTTTAAAAAAAAGAAGTGACCTCCCCGGGGTACCAGCCTGGGCAGTGTGTATTGAGGTCCTGAGCTGCCCAGACAACAAGACTCCCCTCTCAGCCTCATGTGTGGCACCAGCTTGGCTGCAACAGCTGAAGTTGATCCCAGACCAACCGACTCAAAAGTGCTTTGGATGCCTACTCCAGAACAATATTAGCACAGTATTAGGTTCAGCAGGAAAACCTTCAAAGTGCCCTACAACATGTCACAGCAGAAGGGTTCCAAAATCTAGCTTTTAACAGCCCATTCACCACAACCCATTGGAAAAGCACTGCTTTGGCAGAGGTGGTGGAGAAGTAAGCTTTATTTGCTGTCTTCAGTGTCCTCTCACCTATGATTGGTTGTCTTCTTCACAAAACTTGAATCTTTCGCACTTTAGCTGTTGTCTCGTCTGCATCATGCCCCAGAGGTCCCCTGAGAATCAGGGGGCCATCTGGAACTGCAGCACCAGAGAGGGAAATCAGGAGTGATCATGCTGATGACCTTTTCCACCTCACCATTTCGCAGTGAGACCAGGGAGTCAACATGCCAACTGAAAAGACCTTGGGACATTCAGGAATCCCTTGAATTTCATAAGCCTCTGGGAGCAGACCATTGTAATGGGTCCTCCATCCCTGCAGGGGGGGAACTGCTATTGTCAAACTGAACTCCACTAGGAAATGTTTGGTCCAGGACAGCAAGCCAACAGAAACCTCTCCCAACACCAACTCATCTAACACCCTGTTGTAAAAACCAGATTGAGGTTATGTCTTGCCATGGCTCAGTGATGTGCTAAGTCAGACCCAGCTCCACTGGTATGCCAGCTGAGACCCTACCTGCCTGCACACTGTCTCTCCAGAGTGGTACATGCTCTGGTTATCTCTCGCTTGGACTACTGCAATGTGCTCTATGTGGGGCTACCTTTGAAGATGACTTGGAGACTACAACTAATCCAGAATGTAGCAGCTAGACTGGTGACTGGGAGCAGCCACCAGGACCAAATAACACTGGTCCTGAAGGATCTACACTGGCTCCCAGTATGTTTCTGAGCACAGCCCCTGAGCTGTGACCGCCCACAAACCACTGTTGTAAATCTATACTGTTTTCCTCTTCCTCCTCCCTGGAACCTTCTCCCAGGGACCTTCTTCTGCCAGGTCCCTAACACTCTGCCTATGTCTCACCTGCCCCATGACAACTCCAGCCTGTGTTGATGCCATACCTGAGGGACAAAACTAGGTCACACCACGTGGCCCACCCAGCTCATCCATCCAATTTTCGGTGACAAATGCCAGATCGGCCAACCTCAGCCACCATCAAATTGTAAGCGAGTAATTCCTTATTCTGGACTGACCTTATAAGAGCGATGTCTTTTTATGGACTGAGAATAGAAGGGAAAGGAAGATAATAGCACCGTATCCGGCTTAAATGAATAGACAGCTAATTGCTGTTTTTATCAGCGTCTGCCAAGAGGGCTGAATGAACTCAGACAAAGGGGGAAAGTATGAGACGTGATCGGTAATTGAGAGCAAGGGTAGAATTATTATTAGAAGCGGTACCTGGCATTTCAAAACAATTTGAGCTGTCTTGGGGGCAGTAGCAAAAATGGGTGCTGCCAGAAAGGCAGTGAGACAAAACTCAGATGAGTGGAGACCTAGATCACCTGTAAAGCAGGAAGAGGGTGGGATGGATAAAAGATACCTTTATTTGAAGAAAAGAAGTGGTGGGCAAGAAAAGAGTGCTTAACTCTTCTCCCAACCATTCCTTGCCCCCTGCAAGCTACATCCACCTTCAGCCAGTGTGGTATAGTGGTTAAGAGCAGTGGACTCGTAATCTGGTGAACCGGGTTCGCGTCTCCGCTCCTCCACATGCAGCTGCTGGGTGACCTTGGGCTAGTCACACTTCTCTGAAGTCTCTCAGCCCCACTCACCTCACAGAGTGTTTGTTGTGGGGGAGGAAGGGAAAGGAGAATGTTAGCCGCTTTGAGACTCCTTCGGGTAGTGATAAAGCAGGATATCAAACCCAAACTACTTTTCTTCTTCTTCTTCTTCTTCTTCTTCTTCTTCTTCTTCTTCTTCTTCTTCCCCAAATCCAAATTGGACCCGCCTCACTTTTCAGCTCTTCAGTTGAGACCCTCACCCCAAAACTAGCTCTGTCCTGAATCACTCTTGGGTCATGCAGCAGAGGAGCTTCATTGATCCATTCTCCTTATAAATCATTCCCAAGACGGGAAGATCAACAGCAGCAGTCGCATTCGCTTCCCTCCGCTGCCTCCTTCCTTTGCTTTTTATTCTATTGTGGGGTGGAGAGAGACCATTTCAACCACCGTGAGTCTTTATTTTAGTCCAAGTGAAATGAAAGCTTATGCCGCAATCGTCTTTCAAGGCGCCACGGATCTTTGTTGCCTTTCATGGTCACAAGCCGTTAATTCCACTGACCTTCCCGTAGCATCTGTGACCTTGAGATCTGAGACAGAATGTGCACGAAGGCAGCGTCGCATCCCCAGTGGCTTCTGGATGCTGCCATTTTGCATTTTTTATTTATGTCCTTTCATTCTCTTAATGTAGTGCCTGGCCTACATAAACGCCAGCAAGGGCATTCGTTGGCTGGTGGTGGCATATTTGGCCCAATAGAATGTGCAGCTGAATGAACCATTGGGAGGACTGCTGGTGCTATTGAGTCCAGTAGCACTGCAATAATAAATTAAGGGGCATAACGGGCACCAGGGTGCATCTGCATTTGTTGGCATCCGTCTGTATCGAAGGACAATGGAGTCCGCTTCTGGGGGTGAAGCCAAACTGCTGGAGAATCACAATAACTCTTGCTCCTGCCTCATATGTTGTTTTTGCTGCATTAGTGGTACCAAAGTGACCTCTCTGGGGTGCAAGCCTGGGCAGTGTGTTTGGAAGACCTGGGATGCCCAGATGACAAGACTCACAGATGTGATCCAAAGGAAAGCAGAGCAATATGTTTGGCTGCAGGAGTTGCCAGAAGGAGGTGCGCAAGGTGCCATCCAACTGTCTCTAAGCGTGGAGAGTGCAGAATGCCAGTTTGCTTAAGATGGAGCTCTACTGGCTGGATGGATTACTGCAGTGCTAAACCATTGCACGATACCACTATCTAATGCTAGATTAATAGCTGAGTTTCTAAATCTAGCATTAGATAGTGGTATCGTGCAATGGTTTAGCAGTGCAGTAACACAGTCAGCCAGTAGAGCCCCACCTTAACCAAACTGGCATTCTGCGGTCTCCATGCTCCAGACATTAGGGTAACATTTGAAGGCAGCTGTATTTCATCCACCTCCTGAAATGGTTGTGGAGCCAATACTAACGAGGACAGAGCTCCCCATTGCCTTTGCAATTCCCAGTAAGCCATGAAACACGGTGAAAACAGTCAGGTCTGGAACCTGAATCTCTGAAGGCCCTCAAACAAAACCACGCAAAAAACTGTCTTGGGAGAAGGAAACAAGTTCAACATGAAGTAAGGTGTTCATATAGTTGCTTAATCAACTTAACAGTAACTTCTAGAGAAGTTTGGAAGAAAACAAACCAAATGCCATCATTACAAATCAGGGGTGAGGAACCTGTGGCTTTCTAGATGTTGTTGGAGGACAATTCCCACCATCCCTGACCACTAGGAATGCTTGCTGGGGCTGATGGAGTCCCGCAACATCTGGAGGGCTACAGGTTCCCCATCCCTGTTCCAAATGTCTCTGGAGACTGTTTGTGGTACTCACCAATAGCTCCTATGGTGACAAAGGGGTTCTGCCGAGGATTGATGTTCTTGTTGTACGGCCGATTGCCATACATGTGAGCAGCGCTATTGACCAGCCAAGAAACATTGAGAGAGATGGTGTAACGCAGAACTGAAGCAAGGAAGTACGAATTCCACAAGCTCTCCCCCCAGAAGTACCAAGGCACGATAGTAGGAATGACGAAACACATCAGCACGACCGAAACCTTATAGTGCCTGCGGAGAAAGGAAAGCAGTGACAGGTCTATGGCTGCATCACACGAGGGGAAAAGGTCTACGCTGCTGAAGGCCAAGTCAGACAAGTGAGAACAGAAGGTAACAGAAGCCAAATTAGTAAACCATAGACTGCAGTATATATTTCATGTAAAGCCACAGAATGGGAGACAAACTTACTTTTTGTCTCATGAAAATCCTGGGAAATGCTGTCAAATATTATTTTATTTTTATTATTCCTGCATTGCAGGGGGTTTGGCCCAGATGATCCTTGTGATCCCATCCAGCTCTACAATTCTATGATTCTATATGGCAACAAATTTCCAGATTCTGAAAATTCTGATTCCAATTACCCTTTCAATCCCTAGCCTCCTGCATAGAAACCACTGAAGTTTATAAATTCCAGTGGTGAAGTATCAGGAAAATGTTTATATTCTACCCATCAGCCAAGTTCTCTGGAGAGTTTGCAGTGGTTTGCCCAGTTGGATTTGTGACGTTCTCACTTTTAATTCCCAGTTCACATCCATTCATTTGCTTCAGTGATGACTGTTATTATGACCGTTATTATTTATTGAATCTGTATACCAGCCTTCATCCAAAGATCACAGGGTGCTTCACAACATAAAAAGACAAACTGAGATCACAAAATACATCATAAAAACAAGAACAAAAACAAACCTAGAACCCCCACAAACACATTTAAAATGACATAGAATGTTAAACAGGGATGCGGGTGGTGCTGTGGGTTAAACCACAGAGCCTAGGACTTGCTGATCAGAAGGTCGGCAGCTCGAATCCTTGCGACGGGGTGAGCTCCCGTTGCTCGGTTCCTGCTCCTGCCAACCTAGCAGTTCAAAAGCACGTCAAAGTGCAAGTAGATAAATAGGTACCGCTCCGGCGGGAAGGTAAACGGCGTTTCCGTGCGCTGCTCTGGTTCGCGAGAAGCGGCTTAGTCATGCTGGCCACATGACCCGGAAGCTGTACCCCAGCTCCCTTGGCCAGTAAAGCGAGATGAGCACCACAACCCCAGAGTCGGCCACGACTGGACCTAATGATCAGGGGTCCCTTTCCCTTTACCTGGAATGTTAACCAGCCAAATGACTAGTTAAAGAGAAACGTTTTCGTATGGCGCCTAATGCTGTTGAATCCCTTGGTGGTTCCCCCATCTGGTTCCTCCCACCATTCCTCTGTGTCCAACCAGTCCATGACAGCTAAACACTGGCTCAACCCATATAGAACCTTTGCCAGAAGTCTTGGACTACAAATCCCATCAGCGCCAGCCAGCATGCACTCATCTCCCATCAGCGCCAGCCAGCAGGTTGGCCAGCAAAGGCTGTATTAGGAGATGTCCAACATCATACTTCACTTCCCATGTGTGTTCCCCCCACTGACCCCACTCCCTGCAACCCAAACAACCGCAGAACCTTTGTGTCTCTCCATAATGCTGTTTGCTGCACACAAACATTTGGAATGGGATTCGTTGCAGTCCCAGAATTTCTGCTGATTTGGAAATTCTGCAGTCCCAGAATTTCTGCTGATGCAACATCAGGCATAGCAATTGTCGTTTGCCAGAATTAGTGTCAACTAGGGCAGATTCCTTCCTCATTAATGCAAATGCTTAGAGGAGGAAAAGGGGCGAGCCCGGGCTGCCCTGACCTTAAGTGCCCTCAGGTGGGCCCGCCCCCAGCGCCAGCCCATTGGCTGGCGCTGCCGGGAATGAATACTAATGGGGATCCCTGAGTCCTGCAGGGCTGGCGCCAGCCCCGCAAAAATGTGGATGGGGGGCGTGAGCCCGCAACCCCCCCCTCCTGAGTTCGGGAGTGGCTTTCTGCAGCGGAAAGGCTCACAAGCGCCCAACTCCCCAATGAATTTCTTTAAGCCTTTGTAGGTCTGTCCTTTCACTGGAAGGACAGATCCTGAAGCTGAGGCTCCAAGACTTTGGCCACCTCATGAGAAGAGAAGACTCCCTGGAAAAGACCCTGATGTTGGGGAAGATGGAGGGCACAAGGAGAAGGGGACGACAGAGGACGAGATGGTTGGGCAGTGTTCTCGAAGCTACCAGCATGAGTTTGACCAAACTGTGGGAGGCAGTGGAAGACAGGAGTGCCTGGCGTGCTCTGGTCCATGGGGTCACGAAGAGTCGGACACAACTAAACGACTAAACAACAACAAAAACTGAATTTTGAATAAATGCAACGAATTTTCATTTCTCAATAAAATTTATGTACCGCCCTTCATTTGCTGATCACGGGGTGGTTTGCCGTATAAAATGGTTACTGTTTTGAATTTTCTTGTGTTATTGTCTTCCTTACTGGAGGAAACTGCTGTTCTGAAGAATGCTTTTTTTGTCCGTCCGTCCCCAAATTTGGGAACTACTGTTTACAGAGACTTGCAGTGGCTCTCAGGGGTTTTGGACAAGGGAGATTTCCAGACCCACCTGGAGATGTTGAGAATTGAACCCTGGGACCTTCTGCATGCAAAGCCGATGCTGTACTGGTGAGCTCCAACCCTTATCCTGAAAGATTTGTGCATCCTGGTCTGGCATGTGACATCTCTTGAAGTTAGGGTTGGGCTCTCAGCTTGCCAGCCAAATGCTCCATGTAAAACCCACAGTAAATTCAGCAGCGCATCATAATAATCACACAAATCACATTTGCAGGCTCAGGTCACATAATTCCTTGCCCTTGCAGATCTGCATTTTTGACAAAAATAATAATCTGTGCAACTGTACAAGCCCTTAGCGAAGCAGAGGTGGTTGTATTGGTTTCGTCAAGGCTGTTAAACGCTAAGGGTTGTAGCCAATGCTATAGGTAGGCCTACTCGACGCAGACCCACTGAAATCAACAGACATTATTTCAGTGGGTTAATCTGAGTAAAACTTAACCGGAAACAACATTGAACAGTTTCAGTGTCTGGGTTGTGGCTAACTAAGTTTCATTCATAGATAGGGTTGCCATATTTCAAAAAGTGAAATTCCGTTGAGCCTTTTTGGGACACTATTTTCGGGAACTGGACATATGGCAGCCCTACTCATAGACCTGCTAAAATGAATGAACTGATCTACTGGTCTACTACCCCTAGTATCTCAAGATTTGTCATGAGAGCGCTTGGACTAGAATTGTCACCCAAAATCTTTACTTTTCTGGTTTATCACCAAAACAGTTATTAACACTGGGCCTCATTAAAGCAAATAATTTAATTCAACAGTGCCTATATGATATCAAGCGACAGAATAATCTGGCCACAATAAGGAAATTTTGTCCATGGTATGATTCTTCTCCACCTGGTCATTTTGACACTTTGGCACCCTATTTGCAAAATTTAACAATTCCAAAATACAGATGCGCTTTCACTTTCACAAGATTGAATATACTGTCCTCGGCTGTACTTGAGGGTCAATTTCAATAAATTCCACTGCGGAGACGGCAGTATTGAGTCAGTGGCTCATGTGCTTCTGGCTTGCCCTCTTTATAAAGATTTGAGGTTATTACCCCTCTATTATTGTCCATGCCGGGTCGCTCAGCCATTGCTACTGTGTCCTTTCTTTTAGCAGAGAAAGATGATCAGGGGACAGCAAAAACTGCAAGGTTTTTAGCGGGGGCAATTAGAATAAGATTTGTTATTTGATTATTGATGTAAACCCCCCAACTGTATTTTATATAGTTAAGTTTTTGCCCCTTTCTTCAGTACATTTTATTTTATTTTACTGCTATGGCTAGTGGCTGAAGCAAATAAAGATTCTTCTTCGGAATGAACTAAATTTTGCAATGTCTGTTAACTTCAATGTGTGTACAGTCGTACCTTGGAAGTCGAACGGAATCCGTTCCGGAAGTACGTTTGACTTCCAAAATGTTCGGAAACCAAGGCGCAGCTTCTGATTGGCTGCAGGAAGCTCCTGCAGCCAATCAGAAGCCACGGAAGCCCAGTCAGACATTTGGGTTCCAAAGAATGTTCACAAACAGGAACACTCACTTCTGGGTTTGCAGAGTTCGAGAGCCAAAATGTCCGAGTACAAAGGCGTTTGGTATCCAAGGCATGACTGTATTCTGAGTAGGATTAGCCGTGGATACAACCCTCTGTCTTCTCCTCTTGCTAAGGTCTTTCCCCCTGTGCTCCCATCTCACTCACTTTCTTTGAAACATGACAACAGGGTCGTCCAGCAGGTCACTGAAGTCCAGCTTCCTTCCTTTCTCTATGACATCTCGATGCTTCCGGACAAAGAGCCAGCCAATGTGGGCGAAGAAAAAGCCGCGCTGGGCATTGTGGGGGTCGGCATCCGTCTCCGAGTACTTGTGGTGGACTCGGTGGTCTCGGGCCCATTCGAAAATATCATTCTGCATGGGGGACGGCAGGAGGGTTTAAGTGATTTGAGTTTAGCTTCGCAGGCACATAGTTTCAAACACAAGCACAGTTTGCCATAGCAGGAAAAACAACTGTTTGTGTCAAATGATATCACACAGAGCGGCTTGCTTTCCCTCCACCCAATTCAGTCATTACTTGACCTTTTAGGGATTATTATTTTTACTGATTATAGTTTAGAAATTATTTATTGTAATTGTTAAGAGCAAACTTCTGCTTAATTATTATTTGCTGGCATTTAATTTTATTGTGTACTATTATATTGTAATGGATTGTTGAACATTGCTTTATCTGATACAAGTTCCTTATTTTAAAGCTTTGTTTATTATTACATTTTTGTATTGGATAAGATTGCTATAAGGAGAGCAATCTTTATTGTTTCTTCAGTTTGTAAACTGCCTTGTGTATAGCAATTCGGAAAGGCAGTATACAAACTAAAAGTGTAATAAAAAAATGTAATGAAATTGTTGGGGAAGAGTGATTTTCAGGAGAAATGTGGTAAGTGCAGGGCCCCTCCATCATCGCTCCATTTCAAACAACCCCTTGCCTTTGGCATACCTTCCAAGTGCCCCAATTTAACCGGGACAGCCACACTTTTCTTAAAAGGTGCCCCAGGCTCTGCCTTTGTCCCGGGGTGCCCTGATTTCACACCACCTGCGGACAAGGGCCATGGAAGCAGCTCCTGCAGTGGCATTGTGTCAGGGGCTGGACTGAGGAGGAATGGTTGGAGCCACCCCCCCCTTTTTTCTGAACCTTCCCAAGGACAGGACGACAGTATTGATGTAGAACAGTGGTTTGCAGAGGGGCATAGTCCAGAGGGGAAAATACTGGGTGAGGAACAGCTAGAAGAGGAAACACGAGAAAATGAGCGGAATTCAGTGTCTTTGGACAGCATTCCTGACACTCCCCCTTCGCCCAAGACTAGAAGGGCTTGGAAAGTGTGAAGAACAGAAAGCGCAATGGCAATGAGCTCAGATTACCCAACATAGGAGTGACGTAGTTTAATGGGGACGGAGGGGGTAAACCTTTTACTGGGAGCAACGCCATTTTTTAAGAGAGAGAGATGCATTCTTTTGTCTCTTACTGTGATCATTAAAGAACTTATCGGGTAAGAATGCTCCTTTCGTTGGATCTGCTTATTTATTGCCACCAGGGGAGGGATTAATTTCCCTGAAGTCTGACACATTGTGAAGGAGAGCATCCCAACCTTTGGGAAGGAGGCGCGAGGCTCTGGCAAAATCCTGAGCCCTCCTGCCTCCTTCCCAAAGCCGGCAAACACTTGCCCAGCTTTCGCTCCCTGTCAGAGCATTGTGCCTGCTTTCCTAAGCTGGGCAGAAGCTTCCCAGGCTTTGGAAAGGAGGCACGAGGCCCATGTCCTGATTTTTATCAGCAGAATCCTGGAGCGTATGTTATGGAGAAGGGCTGTGGCCCAGGGACAGAGCATCTGTCTTGCATGAAGAAGGTTCAGTCCCCTTCATCTCCAGGTAGGGCAGGAAGAGATCCCTGTCTGAAAACCTGGAGAGTGGAGTGCCTGTCAGTGGAGACAATGTTGAACTAGATGGATCACTGGCCTGATGTGATAAAATCCCCTCTGCTTTACATCAACCCTAGCTCTAGTTAACTCCCGCTTGGACTACTGCAATGTGCTCTACGTGGGGCTACCTTTGAAGGTGACCCGGAAACTGCAATTAATCCAGAATGCGGCAGCTAGACTGGTGACTGGGAGCGGCTGCCAAGACCATAAAACACCGGTCCTGAAAGACCTACATTGGCTCCCAGTATGTTTCCAAGCACAATTCCAAGTGTTGGTGTTGACCTTTAAAGCCCTAAACGGCCTTGGCCCAGTATACCTGAAGGAGCGTCTCCACCCCCATCGTTCCGCTCGGACACTGAGGTCCAGCGCCGAGGGCCTTCTGGCACTTCCCTCACTGCGAGAAGCTAAGCTGCAGGGAACCAGACAGAGGGCCTTCTCGGTAGTGGCGCCTGCCCTGTGGAACGCCCTTCCATCAGATATCAAAGAGAAAAACAACTACCTGACATTCAGAAGACATCTTAAGGCAGCCCTGTTCAGGGAAGTTTTTAATATGTGACATTTTAATGTATTTTTAATCTTTGTTGGAAGCTGCCCAGAGTGGCTGGGGAAACCCAGCCAGATGGGCAGGGTACAAATAATAAATTACTATTACTATTACCAACCGCTTTGCTTCCATTACCCAAGCGTCTGCATGCAGAGTTTTGTTCATCTTGAGGATGAATGAGGAGTTCTTCTTGCAAAGGAATCTACACCCATTGAGCAGCCTGTCATCAGTGGAGAAATGAAATTGTAGGCATGCATGGGCAGTAGCTAGAGCAGGGGTCAGCAACCCGCGGCTCCGGAGCCGCATGTGGCTCTTTTACACCTTTACCGCGGCTCCGGGGCGGATACTAGCGAGGGGAGGAGGCGCATTGTGTGCCCCGACACTCCCCACTGTTTTAAATGTTGCAATAGTTTTGCGGCTCCCAGGTTTTTTTTCTTCGGTCCAAGTGGCTCTTTTTGTCTTAAAAGTTGCAGACCCCTGAGCTAGAGGGATTTGATATCCCGCTTTATCACTACCCTAAGGATTCTCAAAGCAGCTAACATTCTCCTTTCCCTTCCTCCTCCACAACGAACACTCTGTTGCTCACCTGAAAGGCCATTGAATTTGCTACAGCCAGGAATATCCGCAATGGTAGCTTGGCTTTGTAAGATCTGTGACTCCACAGGCGATGGGCCCCTGCTGTCACTCCCAGGGCGGTCACAAAGAAACACAGGTATGCTGCAAAACATAAAGGAGAAACAGGGGGAGGGGGAAGAGAAAGAAATAAAGTGTAAATACCAAGCAATTGCATCTGTTATTGTTCCTTGTTAAAACATAGCTCAGACTCTCCTAGGTGTTGCTGTTGGCGGGCTAAATTTTTCTAATTACATACCCTCCATGTGTCCTGTTTTTCAGGGACAGTCCCAGAATTACAAAAGGCACCCCAGCTTCTGATTTTATCCCAGAATTCCCTATTTCCCGCCAGTGCTGCTGCTGAGCTCGAGGAGGATGAGCCAGCGCTTGTCCTGAGCAACGATGGTGATGGTGGCCTCATCCTGTTGCCTCTCCATGGCCACTGCTCCCTGGGCAGCTCATAGCAGCTGCTGGAGAATAAGCAAGAGGGAGATTCTAGGAAAGAGGTACACTTTCGAATTCGCTGGAAAGGCACATGTTAAAGGTTTAACAACCTATAAATTGATGGGGTTTTTCGCTGCATGGTTTGCCATGTTAAATCTCTGCTGGGATTCCCTCACCAAAGAGTCCTAAATTGGGGGCTTTCAAGATTCCAACACAATATACCTGCTGTGCCTTGACCTCCCACTCTGATTGTGTACTGTATTGATTAGAACACTATAGGTTTCGGGCAAAAACCATAACCCAAGTTTGTGTCCTTTATCACTCTAATGTAACCCTCCAAATGCAATATGTGTGCCTGGAAACACAATTCTGGCCTGTTTCCCCAGCATCCCATTCCCCAGCACTTCCCAAGCGACTGGCAGAAGAAGAAGAAGAAGAGTTTGGATTTGATATCCCGCTTTATCACTACCCTAGGGAGTCTCAAAGCGGCTAACATTCTCCTTTCCCTTCCTCCCCCACAACAAACACTCTCTGAGGTAAGTGGGGCTGAGAGACTTCAAAGAAGTGTGACTAGCCCAAGGTCACCCAGCAGCTGCATGTGGAGGAGCGGAGACGCGAACCCGGTTCCCCAGATTACGAGTCCACCGCTCTTAACCACTACACCACACTGGCAGGTGACAGTACTAAACTCTGCCTATTCCCAAAGACCCTCTCTGCCTTTGATGGACCATAATCTCTTCTCCCCGTGTCTCATCTGACTGAAATTTACAAGGAACACCTTCTGTTCTGCCCTGTCCTCCAGAACTGCAAAAGACTCCTTTGAAGATGTCAGAATCTTTTGAAGATGAAGCTGTCTCCAGCTTCTTATTCCCCATGTCTCTTCAGGGGGGCTTATCTTCTCCCCCCACTAAGATACTGCTCTGTGCTTCACCATAACCATATCCCTCCTGTTGCTTTTATATCACTTTGAGCATAGCAGCACTAATACTGCCAAGAGAAAGCCAGCTGTGCTCCCACGTTCTGGGCGCCAACAGAAAGGCTTTCATCCGTGCTCCGTTTTGAGATATGTCAATTTTGCTCATCATGTGTGGAAGCGGGAACAAGGAAGCATCATCCAAACAGATTGCGGTCCCTGAAGGAGTCTCTGCCTTGAAGATTGCACCAAACGAGGTGCATTGTTCTCAAAAGCTGTAAACATAAACAGCGACAATCAAAAGAATCCTTTGCCGACCTGGTGCCTGTGAGATGTTTTGGACCACAACTCCCATTCGGCACCAGCCCAGTACAACTTGATGGGAGTTGTAGTTCAAAACATCTGGCCAGCACCAGGTTAGCAACAACGGCTGGTTTAAAATTGTGCCTCCAACTGCGCCCCTTTGTGCAATTGCCAGTTGAATTTCTTGTGAAGGATTTCCTGTGCAGATGAAAACACAATTGAAATCAAAACATAATTTTGGGTTTCGGAACTTGGGTACCAAAAGTATCTAAGTTTAAAAGGAGAGAGAGAGAGAGAGAGAGAGAGAGAGTGCTGTCAATTGCAAATGGCGTCTATAAATGGAATTTAAAACTTTTTAATATATATTTCAGGCTGCTTTTTTCCTAATTTACCCCCTTGTTTTACGGAGCTTAATTTGGAGAGCTGTTTTGGAATGCAGCTACGTTTCTAAACTGGTCCATGTTTCAACATGTGTTCTGTAGGGCTGCCATATAAATATTCTCATTTTAAACACTGTTTTGAATTGTGTTACATAAGCTGCCTTACATACAAAGAGAGAGAGAGAGAGCAGTTTACAAGTAAGTTTATCAGAAGGGGCCATCTTTCAACGGTAGGCACAGGTTCTGTCCCTAGTGTCTCCAGCTAAAAAGATCAGGTAGCACATGAAATAAAAGGCCTCGTATCATATGGCTGAAGAGTCACAGCCATATCATATTCCTGGAAGGGTCATAGCTCAAAGGTAGATCACATTCTGTGTCGAGTCTCCGACACCTCCAGCTGGGCTTGGAAGAGGATCCTGCCTGAATTCCTGCAGAACCACTGAACAATACTGCGCTAGATGGATCCATCTTCTGATTCAGTGTAAGACAGCTTCCCATGTTCACTGCCAGTCAGAACAGGCAGTACTGGGCCAGATCAGCAGTGGAGAACTTGTCGTCCTCCAGATGTCACTGGTTGGCATTCCCATCAACCCTGACCCTTGGCCATACTGGGTGGAGCTGATGGTGTTGAACAGCTTCTGGGAGGTGACCAGTTCCAGATGGGGTTGCCATGTTTTTGCTTGTGGTTGTTGTTTAGTCGTTTAGTTGTGTCTGACTCTTCGTGACCCCATGGACCAGAGCACGTCAGGCACTTCTGTCTTCCACTGCCTCCCGCAGTTTGGTCAAACTCATGCTGGTAGCTTCGAGAACACTGTCCAAACCATCTCGTCCTCTGTCGTCCCCTTCTCCTTGTGCCCTCCATCTTTCCCAACATCAGGGTCTTTTCCAGGGAGTCTTCTCTTCTCACGAGGTGGCCAAAGTATTGGAGCCTCAGCTTCACGATCTGTCCTTCCAGTGAGCACTCAGGGCTGATTTCCTTCAGAATGGAGAGGTTTGATCTTCTTCAGTCCATGGGACTCTCAAGAGTCTCCTCCAGCACCATAATTCAAAAGCATCAATTTTTCAGCGATCAGCCTTCTTTATGGTCCAGCTCTCACTTCCATACATCACTACTGGGAAAACCATAGCTTTAACTATACGGGCCTTTGTTGGCAAGGTGATGTCTCTGCTTTTTAAGATGTTGTCTTGGTTTGTTTTTGCTAATAAAGAGTTAACTCCATCTTCAAACTGTGTGATTAACTGACAGGCTCACTCTGTGACACCTTACTAGTTACAGATCAAGACTGTTGCTATTTGCATAGCCCCACCTTGTTTTCAGGGTCACACTAGACTACAATGACAGCCCAGAGAATAGTTTGAAGGCACTATTTAGCAAGCTTACTGAAGCTAAGTACCGTAGATCTGGTCTGGTCATTGCCTAGATGAAAGATGGCCTGGGTACTCCAGGTACATAGCTTAGACTTCCATGATGGAACAAATGCAGTATTTACAGATCCTCTAGATCAGTGTTCCCCAACCTTGGGCCTCCAGCTGTTTTTGGACTACAACTCCCATAATCCTCAGCTAGCAAGACCAGTGGTCAGGGATGATGGGAATTGTAGTTCGAAAACAGCTAGAGGCCCAAGGTTGGGAAACACTGCTCTAGATGACCAGTTTATTGAGAATTCATCTTGACTTGCTCACACAACGCCTGCGCAGAGGTTAACTATGCCTGGTCTTTATTGAACACTTGTTCTGCTTTGTTTGTGGGGAGGTTATGTGACATTCTGCATTCATCCTGATTTGCTTACGCAGTGTTTATATACCCTCCCATTAATCATTCATTTGCCCCAAACATTCCAGTGTATTTCCCCCATAACGTTACTGTGGCAATCACACAGGGTCCCTGGACTTTTCACCGTCTATTGATCCCTGTGCAACCACTTTATTTCTTGCTGCCACCACCCAGGCCCTACCTGGTACAATACTGAGTCCAGTCAGGGTTAAATTGGAACATAAACTTCTGTTTATTTATTGCAGTTTACCAAGCATGTGGTTTCATAAATGGTATCGGTCCATTACAATCATGGGGTGCCTATCCAGACCTATAACCTCCGCTACCTGCTCTCACTCACTAAACCACCTCTCAGATATTTACTTGTCTTCCTAGCCCCTAACTGTTCCTGACTCAGCTTATTTCGCTACCCTAACTCCACCTACCCACAGACTCTATCCCAATTCACTCCCACTCCAACCAACCACCCAACTCCCAACAAACTCCCCTTTTGCCCCTCCCAGAGCTGGTTTTATAGTCCCTCTGACTCCACCCCCCTGGGTTCTGATTGGGTAACTTGTTTAACTAATTCACCTCCAGCACTCTCCTATGTTAACGTCACAGTTACTAACCACATAACGTCTGTGTGCTTCATTTTTTTAAAAAGTGGATTGGTTGTGCTAGTGTGACAGAGCCCTTTCATTGATTTTAATCACACTAACCAAAATTTCCAGTAAGTGCTTGATTTCCTCCCACAAAATAGTGACAGTCAGAGGGCAGAGTGTTGCCCTTAAAAATAAACTGCATTTCTTGGGTTGCCAACTGACCGCACAAATGGTCTGGTCTGCTCCAGCGGTTGCTTAATCTGCAAGCAAAACTTTTCCCCAGCAGACAGATAAGCATTGCCAGCTAATGTAAGCCAGCCAAGATCTTCAAGGCACAGCTACTGAGGCTAGCGGAAATGTTGGCAACCCTCCAAAATGCATAAATATCAGGACGTGGTGGAATATTGAGAAATGGGCCTTTTCACAGAGATTGCCCTGCAGTTACATTGTGGGCGCCGACAAGAGCACACAAGGACCCATCTGAATCGAGCGAGGAATGAGGCAGCAGAAGGAAGGAAGGAAGGAAGGAAGGAAGGAAGGAAGGAAGGAAGGAAGGAAGGGCTGACTACAAAATCTCAACTGCGATGATGAAGCGACTCTCAATGTGACTTTGTGAAGCCCGCCAGGGTGTCGCTAGCACTTAACTCAGTGTCTGATGAGCCACATTATAAGCAGCGGGGGATGCGATGATACCTTTCCTTTCCGCAATCAATAGCGCCTGAGGTCTTGCTGCTGAACATAAAAAGCCTTTTACATCCCACCTCACTGCCCGCTTGCTTGCGGATTGCATCTCCATGAGTGGTACAAATTAGGAGGGCTTTGGGGTTCGATAGGCACGTTTGCAGAGATCAGCTTGACTGCAGGAAAAACACAGAAGCCAACAGAAGCATCGGTATGCTTCCATTAGCGGGAGGTCACGGCTTCAGCTAAATATATGTCGGATAATGTTCAGTCTCCTCTTCTCCTTCACACTTTTAACAGCAGGGCATTCGCTCTGACAATTTTTTAAAAAACCAAAAACACCTAAAACCCTTAAAAGAAGGTGCAAAAATTCATGGTTCTGAAAGCCACAGGGTACATCTTCCAAATCAGGATCGTAATCAGGACCTTAAACCAGCCCCACAGCAGGCAACCTGTATATTTATTTATTTTTACCTTTGCAAATGCAGAATTTTACACAGACGAGCACCGGAATTTCATTTGTTTTTCCAGCCCATGCCTCTTCCGACAAGTTTATGCTTGTATTCAGGGATATCACATTTGCCCAACACTCAAAAGCATCGTATTTTTGCACCTGGGAAAAACGTGATGCTTGCCCAAGATAGCAGAATCATCCGTGCTGTTGTGATAGCTCAGCGGCATGTGGAAATGGTGGAAAGATAATGACAGAGGAAGGGGAAAGTACTATACACTATCTGCTTGAAAACAGGCTTTAATATCCCACCAAATCCCATCAACATTCTCTCAGATTTCTCAGATGGGCTATAAAAACAATAAGAAAACATCTTAATCAGATTCAGAGATCGTAAACATTAGTATCCTCTCAACTGTGTTATATCTATAGCACTGCATGTCAAAGAAACCATACAAAAACGGAAGCACAGCAACCCTTCTCTGAATTTTTCAATTCAGCCAAGTAACGTGTTAGAAAATTCATCTGGTCAGGCAGAATGCCCACAAAATGCAGGTGTTAGCGAAGATAACACAGAGGCATTATTTTAGAGGTAATTGCTTTGCCAAAATGTATATATTAGGCCAAATTGCACACAAGGATGTGCCTAGTGAGAGGAATTCTCACTAAATTGCTGGTGAATTTCCGTGAGTTCTTCATACAAATTTGCAAACTGATGGGGAACTGTGGAGAATTCAACTTTCGATTGGAAAAATGAGAAAAGGACAGAAAACAAAATCCAGATCTAGCCTCCCCGTGGTGTGTCAATGCAAGTGTTAAGCCACACTCTGCACCACTTTTTATATAGCAATTTCCCATCACTTTTCTTACAGCAAACAGTCCAATATTAGAGGAAGAGACTTTGTTGGTCAAGGCCTCCCAATCAGCTTTAATTGTGCAGCCTGAATTTTCTGGCATATGATTGAATCCCACCTGAAAATAGCAACAGTTTGTAAGACCCCTCCATGCATCCTCAACTAGGTCTCAACTAAATAGGAGGTAAATCATAGGGAAGCCCAGGCTTTGTACAGAAAGACCAAAGGTGCTGCTTTTCTGATTATAATTGTGCTGAGGAGCCAAAAGCTTGGCTCCTGAGCTTTAAAAGTTTAGAACACAGTCAGTTTTCTGAATGTTTAATGTGCTGACACAGACTCTGCAAAGAGAGGCAATTCCCCCGACGCCTGCGCTTAGCCCAAATTTTCTCTCACCCTAAAGCCACTTATTTACGGGCACTAAGCAATCAGTCCAAACGAAAACACATCCCAGGGGTGCAGAGTATTTTAAACAATGAATTCAACGACACTGACCTATATTTCAGCTAACTGATGGTAAGCGGAACAAGTCATCAGCTGGTGTTGTTGGGGTGGCAAGGATTGTGATTCTCAGTTCAAATCTTGGCTCTGCCTCAAATTCACGGATTAGTTTTAGGAACATTTCCCAGATTAAAAGGTAAAGGGACCCCTGACCATTAGGTCCAGTCGTGGCCAACTCTGGGGTTGCGGTGCTCATCTCGCTTTATTGGCCGAGGGAGCTGGCGTACAGCTTCCGGGTCATGTGGCCAGCATGACTAAGGCGCTTCTGGCGAACCAGAGCAGCGCACGGAAACACCATTTACCTTCCCACCGGAGCGGTACCTATTTATCTACTTGCACTGTGACATGCTTTCAAAATGCTAGGTTGGCAGGAGCAGGGACCAAGCAACAGGAGCTCACCCTGTCGCGGGGATTTGAACCGCCAACCTTCTGTTCAGCAAATCCTAGGCTCTGTGGTTTAACCCACAGCGCCACCCGCGTCCCAGATTGCATGGTGGCAAAGGCTTGTTTTGCTAAAGTAAGTGGGTCCTCGTGATGGGGGAACCGTGGCCCATCCTGGGTCTGTAGCACCCATACAGTGAGGTGAGGAACCTGTGGCTCTTCAGGCACTGTTGGACTCCAACTCCCATCAACCCCAGCTGCATGGCCTGTGGCCAGGGATGATGGGAGTTGTAGTTCCCCAGCCCTGTTGCAGTGGCTGTGTTATGGGCTGCATATCAGGAGAGAAGGCTTTTATCCACTGAAAAGAGAAATCTACTTTTGAAGGGATGGCCTTGGACAAGGGGACAAGAGAGATTGCTCACTAGCACAGGTTTCTTTATTGGCTTTGTCATAAGAATTCTAAGATGCCATAAATAAAATGAATGTTCATAAGCGTGCAAGGTAAACACACACCGGTATATAAACCACATGTCTGAAAGAGTACAGGAGAGAATCCTGAAGCCATCTTCATCCTTAAGGACCACAAATATTTCTCTGTAGAGTGAAGTATCTTGGAAGAAATCTGTCCCAATAGTTCTTTCCACAAATCTTGTTTTAAGGGCATATTTTGTGTATGAATAGCGTAGGCCTGTGAATTGGAGTCAAGAACTAAAGTATTTACCATCTCCAAAAATGGCCCACACTGACCAGGTAAAGCAGGGGTCAGCAAACTTTTTCAGCAGGGGGCCGGTCCACTGTCCCTCAGACCTTGTGGGGGACTGGACTATATTTGGGGGGGGGGGAATGAACGAATTCCTATGCCCCACAAATAACCCAGAGATGCATTTTAAATAAAAGCACACATTTTACTCATGTAAAAACACGCTGATTCCAGGACTGTCCGTGGGCCGGATTTAGAAGGTGATTGGGCCGGATCTGGCCTCCGGGCCTTAGGTTGCCTACCCATGAGGTAAACCAGTCAGTGAACATTATCAGGTATCTTGACAGACAGGAGACAAGCCACACTTTCAAATTTCTGTTGTAGACCTCCTATTTCTGTGACACCTGTCGGACGCTTTTGGGTGGTGGGCAATTTCTGAAGTTGTTTGGGGGGTTTTAAGTTCTTGCACTCTCTGTTCTGGGTCCTCATCTCCTTGCAAGAGGGGCGGGGACTCTGCTGCAACAGAAAAATAAGGCAGCCCTGTTTAGGGAAGTTTTCAATGACTGATGTTTTAATGTAATTTTAATCTGTTGTTGGAAGCCTCCCAGAGTGGCCGGGGAAACCCAGCCAGATGGGCGTGGCATAAATAAGTTGTTGTTGTTGTCATCTGCCTTGCTTTGACTGGATGTTACCTCCATCCATCCTTCTCTGACTTACAATGGACTTAGGGGATCCTGAATCCCTTGATGGGGAGTTGGGCTGTAAAAGCCAACCCCAGATTTTTCGTATAACAGCTTTGTTAAGGAAGCAGCGCTCTAATAATTTGTTAGTGCTACCTCTGCTGTTTCTCTCTGCCAGAGTCAAAAAGGCACTTTATCCCCCTTAAGGGAAAGGTTGCAGCTACAGAGACATTCTCAAGGACAGCGAAGCTTACATGCATTAGACTTCCTTGTCACTCCCATTGCCAATTATACATCTATATATGAAAGAAAACAGGAATTTCATCTGCCTCTAATCCCTCTCCACCAAACATGCTCATTCCTCTTTCAAGGCTTCCCTGTTTTTCTTTTGCTTTGGGCAGATCCACACCCTAAATGTAAAGCACATTAAAAGTACATGACTTAGCACAAAGAATCTTGGGGGAAATAGTTTCCACCTCACAGAGCTACAGTTCCCAGCACCTGTAACAAACTACAGCTCCCAGGATTCTCCGGGGGTGGGGGAAGGCAGGTGCTTTAAATGTGCACTGAACGTGTTTTAAGTGTATGATGCATACGCTGTATTTTGGGAGTCACAGGGCTCACCACTGTGAGGCATGTGGCATTGGGGTCCCTGCCAGCCCCCCCCCATGGCATTGGTGAAAGGTCTCAATAAATATCACCTCAAAGACCACAATACACAAGAGCCTGCTCTTCTTTTTCTGTTCCTCTTACATGAGCAATTTAACAATGTCCACCTTTCATCTAATGCCAGGAGTGGGCATTTGTTCTGAACAGAGGTGAGGTGCAAGATCTTTTCCCTGTGAGTGAGATGGCCGGTGCAGGTGCCTTTTTAATGACAAAATGGGGTAGCTGGCAGGGTGAGGCATGCCCACACTGCTTTGTGGCCCTCTTTTTCCTCCTCTTCCATATGTGGCAGCCATTTTGGTTTACGCCACCCTGCCTAGCAGCTATTTTGTGTTACGCCATACCCCCACTCCCCTTTGGCAGCCATTTTGTGATGGGCACCCGCAGAACTTTCTGGAAATTCCAAATGTGCCCATTGGCCCCAAAAAAGTTGGATACCCCTGGATCACGTGTACCTCATGATGACTGGGTATCTAAGCAACCCAGCGATCTAATCCACTCACTCAAGACAGGGCTCTCTCTAGTTTATGGGGGTGGTAGAAATGTGCTTTTAGCCCATCCTACTGGCTTTCCTGAAGCAAGCAGATGCGAAAAGAGAAAGATCTGAGAAGCTGTGGAAGAGAGAGAAAAAGACAGCCACCATCCACCCAAGGAAGAATAGTTTCAAGTTCTCATAGAAAATTCAGGGTGAAATTACCAGCTCTGGAACTGATCCCAGAAAGCTTAACCCGGCTACTGTTACAAGAAACTCGACAGATCTTTAATCAAAATACTTGACTAAGGTCAAGCCCTTGGTTTTACATCTCATACGATAGACACCAATCCTGATTAATACCTGGGATAGAGCAGAACTTGGCAAGTATTGTATTTTGTGAAGAGCAACCAGCAAGATGAGGAGCTCAGGAAATCACAATGGGCCGTTGGCCTGATCCTGCTCTTCTCGAGCTCTTATGTTATAATTTTTTTTGTTTTATGGACTGAAACCGTCGCAACTAGAACACAGATTCTAAAAACAAATTGTCCGGAAATGCTATGAACAGTTTCCAAAGCACTCTGTGTTGGTTTATCTTACCGTAGTTTATATTCTGCACCTTCAGCATCAGCAAGTGTTCCCTTCAGTCTCAGCAAATGCTTCATGGGGGGGCAAGAACGACCAGAGTTGAGCTGATGTGCTCATTAGGCCTGACACTCCTGTGCAGACCTTGTTTCTTTCGAATAAAGAGTTAACTCGACTTCCTTCATGTGATTTACTGCTGGTTTGTGCCTCATGGCTCTGGTCCTCTGGCTCTGGTCTTGTCTACAGGTGGATGGATGTCTACCTGGGAACCACAGCTGTACTACCTGGGGATGGGTTCCACGATGAAAGGAAAGTTGGCGCTTGTGGGGAAATGGGGGCACTGCCCCACCAACCTCAGTCGGCCATCAGCAAGCCCCCTCCTCCTTAGTTTCAGCGTTGCCCCTTGTAGATTTCAGGAGGGAAGAGGAGGATGGAGACAAAACTGGAATGAGTGAGATCTGCCTATGGCTTCACTTTCTGCTTGGACCCCTGCCTTCTATCCCAGCAGTTCCCAGTGGGTGAGAGTGTTGTAAACAAAATCTGCCCTTATTCCCTTATGGGGTATACAAGAGCCCTTTATAGAGCCCTTTGTAGGTTTTCCATTGGTAGGAGAAAATAAGAGGCCAACCAGAGAATATTGAGAAGCAAAGCAGCTAGTAAGCCTGATCTTTATTAACTGTTGCAACAGCTTGTGCCCCTCACATGCAGGAGGACAGAGGAGGACCCAGAACCAAGGTGTCCCTGCCCTTATATAGACATTTTAAATTGCCTGCCCTGGAGCTCAAGACCACCCCCCACAAACATCATACCTACATCACAGAAAAGGCGGTCTACAACAGAAATTTGAACATTGTTTTTCCTGTCTGGCAGGTTATCTGATAATGCCTTCCTTATCTGATTGCCTTTCCTGGTAGTCTGCCCATTCCTTTGAGATGGTGATTACCCAATTCCTGAGACAACAGGAAGGTTCCCTCCTCCCCCCGCCCCTTGCAGGGAAAACATTTGGTCAGTTTGGGAGTCAAAATGGTTTCAGGACGGTCTTCCTGTGCTGCTCCAGACATGTGGTCAGCATATCTATGTACGTGCTTGGTTGGTACATTTATTATATATATAAGACCTTAAATTTTTTATTTCAAGAGAATGGTAGAATTTACAGTGGTACCTCTGGATGCGAACAGAATCCGTTCCCGAATCCTGAAGCGAACGCAACTCGTGTCTGCGCGTGCGCGGGTCACGATTCGCCGCTTCTGCGCATGAGCGTGACGTCATTTTGAGCATCTGCGCATGCGCGAGCGGCGAAACCCGGAAGTAACGCATTGCCGTGGAGCGCAACCTGAAAACGCTCAACCTGAAGCAACTTTAACCCGAGGTATGACTGTATTTTTTTTTTTAAAGAAAATAAAAATACCCCCCCCCCATACCATACTCCTTGCTGGCCGTAACAAGAAGCAAAAGGGGAGTGAAATGATAGCTTGGGTCTAGGGAAAGGTACCCTTTTTTATTATTGAAGGGAAGATACGGTTCTTGGCACCCTCAAAACAAATGGGATTTACTCCTGAGCAAGCACGGTCAGCACTCGCTAGCTGTTAGCCTCCTTTTTGAGCTTGCTGCAGTGAGGAGACACAGCGTTTGTCCCCTCTCACTTGGCAGGAGAATAATCTGGCAGCATGAATGCTTTTTGCCAAAAGGTTTGCAACTGTTACTGATGGGGAGCCTGCCAAAATTAATTACAGGGGCACAGGAGAGAGAGAGAGAGGCAGGCTGTGGCTAATTAGATCTCCGGTTTGCAGGCTTTACGCCCCACGGCTTACATTTCAAAGTGATCTCCTGTCCTCCACCTCCTAACCCTGCAAACTTTAGCTGAAGCTCCTGCAACGTTTCCAGCGCCTCCTGATCTCAGCCTCCGGCTTTCCTTTTCCTAGTAGAACCTGGAAGTGAAGGGATCATTGTATCCAATATTAGTCATGCTCAGAGCTTACCGTTCAAATTCCTGGGACAAATATACATTCTGTCCTGGCGGCCGTAACCTAGGTTTAATGTGCCATTTGGTGTTCAGATAATATATCTGAGTTTCTAACGCGAATCCTTAAGGGCTGTTATAGCCTACCCCGTAGTGGTGTAGTGGTTAAGAGCGGTAGTCTCGTAATCTGGGGAACCGGGTTCGCGTCTCCGCTCCTCCACATGCAGCTGCTGGGTGACCTTGGGCCAGTCACACTTCTTTGAAGTCTCTCAGCCCCACTCACCTCACAGAGTGTTTGTTGTGGGGGAGGAAGGGAAAAGGAGATTGTTAGCCACTTTGAGACTCCTGAAGGGGAGTGAAAGGCGGGATATCAAATCCAAACTCTTCTTCTTCTTCTTCTTCTTGTCGTGGGAGAGACTAAAAGGTGTGGGAAGAGGGCCCAAACCACGCATGCTGCCCAGGAGCTCTTTAAAGGAATGGTGGTGTTAATGGAGAAATCTGAGGGCTCCCTTGGACAAAAAACAAGGACACCAGCCAGGAATACCAGAGCAAAACAGCAGCCAGTAGGCTTGGTCTTGATTGAAGACTGTCGCGACAGGACTCCCACCTGCCACAAGGTGGAACAAGATGGACGCCCCGAACAAAAGAGAACCCAAACTTTTATTAGTTGCTAATCCCCTTGTTACACCCCCCCAAAAAACTACATCACTAATACATCATGGTTACATCATGAAAGGGGAGGTCTGGTGGCAGTAATCTGAGCATCCTGGACCCTGCCCCATGGTTCTCCTTGCCCTCCACCAAACACCCATCAAGTGTAACAAAAGAGATATTTACATTTCCCTGTTTCCCAGCCAAGTTAATCACACCCTTTTGTCTTCATCTGGGTTTGTTATTACCTGTCTGGCACTCAGGTATCAGGATGCCAGGGATTATCACTCAGGCAGAGGGGCTGCTGAGTAGCTGAGCTCACATGTCTATATGAATTTCTGAAGTTTTCCCAGTGAGCCAGTACATAGATACAGTTATCAGTGAATTCTTACATTTGGTATTGTGCAGCAGAGGCCTTTTGAATAGCTAGGAAGAAACTGTGATGAAGTGTTTTGTTGGGGACAAATCACAAAAGTCACAAAAGTGATTGTGCTGATTTTGGTAGTGGGCTGCATGTGCATGATATCTGCAAACCCCACCCCCACCCCCGCAACCTATACATAAATTCTTGCAACAGTAGCATATAAATACAATCATACATAAATAAATAAAAATTCCTCAGCAAGACTAAAAGCTGCTGTGGAAGAAGCAGGGACGTTTTAGCAGGAAAACAGTACGAGTCGGAAAAGCTTAAAAAGCTGTTCTTTTGCAAAAACTCGCCTTCCTTTTCAAATTGCATCTTCCATGGCTGCATTGTGTAAGATGTGAGTGGCGGGGGGTCAGGTGAAAGTCCATAAAAAAGAATAATGGAAAGAACGATGGATAATGTGTAATTACACTCTCGGCTTGCAGAACCAATTTTCTGGGCAGAGGTATACACACACACACACACACACACACACACACACATATACATATAGGTGCAACGCATGAAACATAATTACATCTGGTCTGAAGCCGGCTCTTTTAATGCTGTATTTATCTCCAGCTCCCCTGTGTTTTGGGTTTCTTTTTTTAAAAAAAATGCTCCGTGTTTGATTTCCATCAAAGCAAGCTTCCCAACCAAAATGGACCTTTCTCTCGCCGCCTCTCACCGCATCCCCCGCTCAGACTTCTCTGCCACACTAAAAATGTGGCGAATCAGATCTCATTAAAGGAAAAGTGGGAGCTACAGCCTTTCATACGGAGGCTCAAACAGCTACCGAAATCAGGGAGAGAAGATAAATTACAGAGAGTGAAAGAGAGTCATCATCCATGAGGGGATCAAAGAACACAGGGGCCATTGTCTTCCTGCATAAAAGACACACACACACACACACACACACACACACACACAGGAAGTTGATACCACAAAGCTCTTGAGACCTGCCTGCTGACTATCAATTTCGGGTAGAGTTACATTTTTTGTTGGCTTTTTGGAAATACAGTGGTGCCTCAGGTTAAGTATTTAATTCGTCCTGAAGCAAAGTTCTTAACCCGAGGTACTATTTCTGGGTTAGTGGAGTCTGTAACCTGAAGCGTATGTAACCTGAAGTGTATGTAACCTGAGGTACCACTGTACAGTATATGTTTTAGGGTTGCCACATTTCAAGAAGTAAAATGCCACAAAGTTGTTGAGCTGCTTTTTGAGGGGAACAAACCCAAATTGTTCAGCTTTTTGGGGGGGAAAACTTCCATACATACGGGTTTTCCCTGACATTTTGCCAGTTCAGTCAAATTCTCCCCCTTACGCCATTTTTACACCCAGGACATGTCAGGAATTTTCCTGACGTATGACAAGCATAATAATATGTTTAGGCTTTCATAGAATCATAGAGTTGGAATAGACCACAAGGGCCATCAAGTCCAACCCCCTGCCAAGCAGGAAACACCATCAGAGCACTCCTGACATATGGTTGTCAAGCCTCTGCTTAAAGACCTCCAAAGAAGGAGACTCCACCACACTCCTTGGCAGCAAATTCCACTGTCGAACAGCTCTTACTGTCAGGAAGTTCTTCCTAATGTTTAGGTGGAATCTTCTTTCTTGTAGTTTGGATCCATTGCTCCGTGTCCGCTTCTCTGGAGCAGCAGAAAACAACCTTTCTCCCTCCTCTATGTGACATCCTTTTATATATTTGAACATGGCTATCATATCACCCCTTAACCTCCTCTTCTCCAGGCTAAACATGCCCAGCTCCCTTAGCCGTTCCTCATAAGGCATCGTTTCCAGGCCTTTGACCATTTTGGTTGCCCTCCTCTGGACACGTTCCAGTTTGTCAGTGTCCTTCTTGAACTGTGGTGCCCAGAACTGGACACAGTACTCCAGGTGAGGTCTGACCAGAGCAGAATACAGTGGCACTATTACTTCCCTTGATCTAGATGCTATACTCCTATTGATGTAGCCCGTAATTGCATTGGCTTTTTTAGCTGCCGCGTCACACTGTTGGCTCATGTCAAGTTTGTGGTCAACCAAGACTCCTAGATCCTTTTCACATGTACTGCTCTCAAGCCAGGTGTCACCCATCTTTCAAATATATATGTTTCTTTATTTGTGTGTAAAAAAATATTTATATATTGCTATTCCTTTTTTTTTTTATCAGAGCAACTGGCAACAAATTATGCATAAAACCATACAGCGGAAGCTATGTAAAAATGTTAAGATCAGAATCTGTTATGAAAATATGTATTCTTAATTGCCTGCATCAGCCTGACGGAAAAGAAACAGGCATTTAAAAGTTGGCACAGAAGGCTGACTCTCTGTTGGCAGAGTATTCCAGAAGACTGGGCCGATGACATTGAAGGATTGGTTTCTTGTTGTTGTCTAAAGGAGCCTCACCAACCTGGCAATCAACCAGCGATGCTCCTGTAGATGATCTCCGAGAAAGAGATGGGAAAGGGCCGGCCCACCCATGAGACAAGCAAGGTGAGAAGACTGCCTCGGGTGGCAGAATTCACAGGGGCAGCAGGCCTGGCTTCCAAGGAATGCATCGCCTGCTGCCGCTGCCATGGTGGCCGTGACAGCTGCCAGGATCTGCTTCCTCCCTGGCAGCCCCCAGTCCAGTCCCACCTCTCCCCCCACCCCTGTTCACCATGTAAATCACTATTCCCTCCCCTCAAACTTTGTTCCCCTTGTAAATCTTCACTCATCCCTTCTCTCCCCGATGGGAAGGCACCATTTTGTGGTTTGCCTCAGGTGCCAAAAGTGTCATGGGTCGGCCCTGAGCTGGGATATTGATATTTTTTAAATAATAATAATAATAATAATAATAATAATAATAATTTATTATTTATACCTCGCCCATCTGGCTGGGTTTCCCTGGGTTTTAATATTCCCAAAATATTAAAATACAGTGGTCTGTTAAACATTAAAAGCTTCCCTAAACAGGGCTGCCTTCAGATGTCTTCTAAAAGTCTGGTAGTTGTTGTTTTCTTTGACATCTGGTGGGAGGATGTTCCACAGGGCGGGTGCCACTACCAAAAAGGCCCTCAGTGCTGGACCTCAGTGTCCGGGCAGAACGATGGGGGTGGAGACGCTCCTTCAGGTATACTGGACCAAGGCCGTTTAGGGCTGTCAAGGTCAGCACCAACACTTTGAATTGTGCTCAGAAACGTACTGGGAGCCAATGTAGATCTTTCAAGACCGGTGTTATTTTGACAGTAAACATAACTCAACAAACACATACTAGCCCCACTGCAGTTGTAGTTGTGCACCAACAATGCCAGAAGTGAACCATGTGGGCAGACACTGAATGGAGCCAAAAATGCAAGTCAAGACAGGAGCCCAACTTGGGGAGTCAGAGAACCAGAAAACATGCCAGGAGTTGGAGCCAGTGAGTAAAGAATATTCTTGCCCCAGTACAGTCCCGGCCTGAACCAGAAGCCTTTATAGTAGGGATGATGAACCTGTGGCCTTCCAAAAGTTGTACTACAACTCCTATCACCCTGGCTATTGGCCAACCTGACCGGTGCTGATGGGACTTGAAGTCCAACAACATCTAGAGGACCACAGTTTCCCCATCCTTGGGTGACACCAGCAATGCTGATGGCAACCTGTAATGAGTATGGGTTGCTCGTGCGTAAGTTGCCGCCTCTCCTGGCTATGTTGCCTTGTTAAACCTTTCTGTCTGGACAGCCCTTCACTTCGTGGCTGCCTCAGTCGCTAGCAGAATCCGTCAGTGGGCGTTTCTTAAACCTTTTCCAACATAAAAGTTGTTTGACGCCCAGTCTCCTCCTCCTCTCCCTGCGCGGAAGTCTTCTGCGCAGGGAGGGCGTGGGTAGCGGAGGACCCGTGCTCTCCCCGCTGGTGTCCGGTGAAGAGTCCTGGAGCCCTCTCGCCGATTCCCCCATCTGCCCCCCTTTATCACTGGTGTTGCGCTGATTTGCTTCCCCATCTGCTGAGCTGCCTCTCTCCCTGCTGGGCCCTTCTCCAGCATCATTTGAGAGCCTTCCCTCCGCCTCTAGCTCCGATGTCAGTTCCCTGACACAACCTAACCTAGTTTCCAAGCTTCTGCGCTGTTTTTGTGACTGCATACTACGAGCGGAAGGGTTTGGGAGAGAGGCTCTGGGTAAGTTGAACTTGTGGGGACTGTTTCTTATAATAATAATAATAATTTATTGTTGATATCCTGCCCATCTGGCTGGGTTTCCCCAGCTACTCTGGGCGGCTCCCAACAGAATATTAAAAACACGACAAACATTACAAACTTCTCTAAAGAGGGCAGATCATACGTTTCCCTTTGGTAAAAATGGCGGCCTTTGTGCTCAGGAACAAGAACACCCACATACACATCAAGTTGTTCTCATTAAACTTAAGGCATGTTGGGGGAAACCAACACACTTTAAAAAGCAGTTCCCTGCATTAAAACTAACTGTGCTTCACTGCCTTGTTTCTGGCAAGAAGGCTTTGTTAGCATCAAGAGAAGACATCGAGGACGCGGTGGTGTCTGTAAACACATTGCTGACTTCAGGATGTGACTAAGAAAGACCTTAAGTTAGACAAGATTACAGCTGCTTTCTCTCAGCATTCTTCACAGTAGGAGAATCAGCAGAGTTCGGTGGTGTTCTAGCATCAAGGTTAAAACAAACATGGGTTGCTTTTGTCCAATGAGGATCTCAGACTACAAGTGATGGACTGGCCCTTATTTTGTCTTCAGGAAACAAAAGAATCGCTATCTTCTCCCAAGTACATCTAAGATCAGGTTCACCAGAAGTTATTGGCTGTAGTAAGTCCTGGGGAGGCGTTAACTGCTGCAGTATTGTCCCCAAGGTGAATACGAGGGCAGAAGTGGGTCATTTATGTCAATATTAGAAATGATTAAGTCACAGGAGTTTTTTCACCTTTTACATTGAGCTGTTATGAATATCAGCCTCCAATGGTAAATGGTAGAACAGGGATGAAATTTTCTCATTCCATTGACATTGAGATGGACCAGAAAATGTTAAGAAATAACATATTCTCCAATATCTCTCTAATGAAAATAGGGATGTCCTTAAAAAATAACAATAATTTTATATCCCACCCATTTGACTGAGTTGTCCCAGCCTCTCTGAGATGCTTCTAACATATATAAAAACATAATTAAACATTAAAAAACTTTTCTATACAGGCCTGCCTTCAGATGTCTTCTAAAGGTTGTATAAAAACTAAAGGTAAAGTTACCCCTGACCGTTTGGTCCAGTCACAGACAACTCTGGGGTTGTGGCACTCATCTTGCTCTATAGGCTGAGGGAGCCGGCGTTTGTCTGCAGACAACTTCCGGGTCATGTGGCCAGCATGACTAAGCCGCTTCTGGCGAACCAGAGCAGCGCAGGGAAACACCGTTTACCTTCCCGCAGGAGCAGTACCTATTTACCTACTTGTACTTTGACATGCTTTTGAACTGCTAGGTTGACAGGAGCTGGGACCGAACAATGAGAGCTCACCCCGTTGCGGGGATTAGAACTGCCGACCTTCTGATCGACAAGCCCTAGGCTCTGTAGTTTAGACCTCAGTGCCACCCACGTCCCTTAAAGGTTGTATAGTTACGTACTTATCTCCTTGGCTTGGAGTGTGTGTGTGTGTCACGTAACTCCACACCCTCCAACATTTCTCCGATGAAAATAGGGACGCCGTAAGGAAAAGTGGGACATTCCAGGATAAAATCAGAAACTGGGATGGCTTCTGTAAATCTGGGGCTGACCCTGAAAATAGGGACGCTTGGAGAGTCTGAAATAATTGCACCTCAGTCCTTGTTTTGGACCTTAACAGAGAAATCCTAAGGTGGTGATGAAATTCTGTGACAGAGATGCTTCCACTTCCCTGCACCAGGCAGGGCAAAAACACCCTGCTCCAACACTTCAATTTTCTAATTCTTTCTATTCAACCTTATTTTCAATTCCCCTCCCATTGACACCAAGAGGAGGAGAGATAACTGCACAGCTGCAGGTGTGCCATATACTAGTTCGGCCTTTGTGTGGGTGTGTCAGGGGAATGGGTGGAATCTGGGGCTAGTGGGTCCAGTTTTTAGGTGTTGATGCATTGCAGTACAGTGGTACCTCGGGTTAAGAACTTAATTCGTTCTGGAGGTCCGTTCTTAACCTGAAACTGTTCTTAACTTGAGGTATCACTTTAGCTAATGGGGCCTCCCCCCACCGCCACCACGCGATTTCTGTTCTCATCCTGAAGCAAAGTTCTTAACCCAAGGTACTATTTCTGGGTTAGCAGAGTCTGTAACCTGAAGCGTCTGTAACCCAAGGTACCACTGTATATGGATGGTTTAGGTTAGAGGATTCCAAACATAAGATGCCCCCCTTTTTCACAGTTGTTGCACACAATGGGTGACCATTTCCACTGACAATCCCAAGAACTCTTTCATAATCAGTCATTTCCACTTCAGACCACATTAGTGTATATTTGAGGTCAGGACATATACATGCTCGGGATGCTTCCCCCTATGGATTTTCTGTGGCGACTTTTTTAATTCTCTGGGGAACTTTTCCAAGAAGCCATATATATCCTTGAGTGGAAGAAACTCCTGCCAAGATTAAAGTGGGGAGAGGAGAATGAATGGCTTGTCCATCTGACCTGCATTTTGTACCAACTTATGACCTAAACTGGCAGGCTGGGTGATCAGAGATGGGTGGGAATAGGGCACCTTTCCAGACTGGACGTCTTCCCAGAGGACATACTAGAGCCAGCGTCTGCAGGAGGGAAAGCACACAGCATAAAATGTCTGAGGAAACTGAAAAACAATAGATCAGAGGTGGGGGATTTCAGGCCCAGGAGACAAATTCGGCCCTCCGCGCCTTTCTATATGGACCTTGGAACCCTCCCCAGGCCACACCCCTTCCTCAGCCACACCCACTCTTCCCAAGCCACACCCTTCATACCATTATTCAGTATTTTCGCCTGGCTGGAATGCTTCCAGCCAGTGTGGTGTAGTGGTTAAGAGCGATAGACTCGTAATCTGGTGAACCGGGTTCGCTTCCCCGCTCCTCCACATGCAGCTGCTGGGTGACCTTGGGCCAGTCACACTTCTCTGAAGTCTCTCAGCCTCACTCACCTCACAGAGTGTTTGTTGTGGGGGAGGAAGGGAAAGGAGAATGTTAGCCGCTTTGAGACTCCTTCAGGTAGTGATAAAGCGGGATAGTAAATCCAAACTCTTCTTCTTCCTTGAACTCTGACAATGCCTGTTAGTTGGCCGAAGGCAGGATAGAGAAGGGGTATGTGAGATAATGTGTAGAAACCGACGAAAGAAGAATGGCAGATAAAATTAATGGACTATGCAGAGTTGGACAAAATGACAGGAAGGATTTGAAACCTGCAGGACCAGAGATTTACAGAAGATTGGAAGAAGTATATGAACTATTTGAAGAGCAATTGTAATCAACAAATTACGTTAGTAGGACTACAAGAAGTTTTGCAAGGAGAAATATAAGAAAAGGTACAAAGTAGAAAAAGAACAGAGATATTAGTTATGAGACTTATGTAATAGGGGAAGTAAGAAATGTATCCTAAGAGATTAGATTGGAAAATTTTCAGACGAGATTGATGGAAGTCAAAAAGTTGTATAAGATGTAAAAGTATGTTTAATTACTGTTGAAAATGATATGTTAAAACACACACACACACACACACACACATATATATATATGAGATAATGTGTAGAAACCGGCGTACAGGACAAACGTAAGATCTGCATTCATGCACTGCCAATCAGTTTTAAGCTAACGATCAATTCTTTTCTAGATAAAACAGCGTCAGAACCTCCCAAGGAAGAATCTTCCCAAAATAAAAAGTGTAGGCGTGGACATAGCAACAAGAGTGCAGGTGGGTGGAGGAGATTAGAAAATATTTTTACTCCTGGAAGGAAAACAAATTTCTCTTTCAGGGGGAAAGGAGAAGATGTTACGACTTGACCGGGGATAAGGAATTTGTGGTGTTTCAGGTGCTCTTTGACTCCAGTTCCCATCACCCCCAGCCTGCATAGGAGTTTGAATTCAGTCATGTCTGAAGGGTCATAAGTTTCCTGTCTCCAGCCTTGAGAAAACAGAGAACCCGGCTCTCTGGTAACGCGGAACCTCCATGTCCAATTATTTTGCTGTTGCTTAAGAATAATGCAGTACAATGTACCTTGGTTCTCAAATGCCTTGGTACTCAAACAACTTGGAACCCAAACACTACAAACCCGGAAGTAAGTGTTCCGCCTTGCGAGCTTTTTGTTTTTGTAGCCGAACGTGCTCCGTTTTGAGTGTTACGCTGAGGTCTGTCTGTTTTTGCCATTTATTTTGCGTTTTTGTTTTTGCTGCTCTTTTTGTTTGGTTTTTGTGACTGTGTGGAACCCTGTTATGCTACTGATTGATTGTGTGACTGCAGTACATTGCTTTCATTTTATGGAACAATGGTCTTGTTTAGAGAGTTAAATTCATGTTCAATTGCTGTTTTAGGGGTTGTTTTTAAAAATCTGGAATGGATGAATCCATTTTGCATTTCTTTCTATGGGAAAGCGCGCCTTGGTTTCGGAACGCTTTGGTTTTGGAACAGATTTCCGGAACGGATTGAGAACCAAGGTACCACTGTAAAGACTAGATTAGGATAAATGAGATGCCTGCACCCTGGTGTAACAATATGAGACACTTTTCCAGGGGAACAAGTGGAGATATTACACAAATAAACTTTTTAATTATCTAATATAAGAAACGAATGAATGAAGTAATCATTCATGGGGATGGTTCATACACAGGAAAAGTGAACGGCAGTTACTATAAAACTTTGGTACAGAAAGATAAGAGGCTCTCTCACTGTTGATAAACAGGTGATGAAAGTGATGGGTAGCTCAAGCCCCTCCTCACAGCAAGAATCTTGTAAGTACAGCGTCCTTGGATGAGGCCACTCAGCTTAAAATGCCTCCGTTCCAGATGTTTATTTTGCTACCTGCGATCTATTTTGACAAATGCAAATACAGTACACTCGAATGCAGCTCTGCATGTTAAATATGCAAATTATTAATTTGCAAATTATGGCATATTACTGCTTTGCCATTTGCTTTACAATGCTTTGACTTCATAAATCCGATGTAACTTTTGTTTGTTTGTTCTATCGTTTATCGTTTTTTTTAAGGGTAACGTAAATTAATTGTGACTTTCCCTTTAGCCTAAGGAAATAATACCAAGCCTTCGCTTTTTAAAAAATTGCAGAAAGAAATGTTCCTTCCTCTATCGTAATCTTTGAACTCCCTTTTGCCTAATGATGAAGCTGTAGGTTCAGGTTTCAAAATGACCAGGAAAAGAAACGAAAATCATTTCTTCCCATAATTAAGAATTAATTTATGGAATATCTAAAGCCTATCAGTTGTTATTTTATTTGATTGGCCTCCTAGACTTCCATCCTCTGAATTAATTAAAAATAAATAAATAAATGAAGAGACAAACAAATATACTCATCACTGGAATTTCTACAGGTCTGCCATATATGGCTATTCAACTGCTCAGATTTGTGGAACAGGCGCTGTTATACGTGCCACTCATTCTGCATTTGTGAGAAATCAGTCTTTGGAACACCCCGCCTATTGATACACTTTGGAACTCCCTGCCTAGCCGACTGGCATCAGTCTGGAACGTTCACTATTCTTTATTGTGACACCTGCTAAAAACGTTTTTTGTTTAGGCAAGCCATGGTGACGGCCCCTAAGCTTCGACAACTTCATGGAGGACAACTCTCTCCATGGCTTCTCATCAGCCAAGCAGAACTTCATGTTCAGAGGCAGTAAGATTCTGGACACCCGACTTTAGGCTGCCTCCAAAGAAGAAGTTAGTTGAGACTTCCGGGCTGGCGCCACCGGCAATGGCGGACTCCCTCTGAACTGGAGGGACTTGCTCCGCATGAAACGGGTCTTTTCCGCTGCGGCGTAGCGGGGATCCCTCTGGAAATCACAGGCGGATGAAGCCTGTTACCGTGGGACTCGGCGGGCACCCTTAGCGCCCCCCCAACCCGCAAAGGAACCCACAAACGGGCTCCGAAGTGAAGAGGGGGAAGTGGCGCGGCGCTGTGAGTCAATTGCTTTTTCTGCGGAGCGAAGCCGCATAGCCGTTGCCGGAGAGCGCTGCCTTTTTCCTGGGACAATTTGGCATTTAAAACAACCAACCGTGAGTACTGGAACATTGAATATTTGGACTTCAAATAAGAACTGGCAAAATAAAAAGGAATTTGGACTTAAAAATTCACCCTAATTTGGTACTGAAACGGGAAGGTTTAAACAGGAAGTCACCCTTCCGTTTCCTTGTAGTTAGAACAAAGCAAAGACAACGCAAACTAGAGCCTTAAAAATCACTTTTAAAGGATCGACTTTCATCATCTAAAATCGCTGAACCCCCCCTTCGGTAGCAGGAGAAGAAGGGGGATCTTTTCTGAGCTGTTTAAACCTGCAGAAGTGAATCTAAAGCAAAGTAATTTTCCACCGTCCTGACCCTGGAGCGGGGTGTCAGAATTGACGTTTGAAGCTCATTGACCAGAAACAAATGTCTTTGACAGATAGTTAAAAGAAGAGAAACATAGTGACTCCATTGCTTCCTTTCGTCTTTTAAAAGAATAAATATGGACAAAATATCTTAAAAAAGAAACTTTGTTGCTATTGTTTTCAAGAGAAAGAGCAGCTAGAAGTTTTTCCCCCTAGAGGGGAACTATGAAATTGTAACTAATTCCTGGGAACTTGCAGCTGTCACTGATTACAACTGTGGGAAACGATTTGTGACCTTGTAGAACAATGTCTTCAGAAGCACTGTTGGGTGCTTTCTGTAAAATAAATGCCCTATTGGATCAGTTAAGCCAGAAGACGGATTTCATGACTAATGCGGCCAGAACCTTTGAACAGGCAGTGGGAAACTATATGGAGCCCACCCAGGAATCAAAACAGGAGCGTGCCATGACAGAACAACTGAGAGAAGAGGACCTTGCTGAATCTTGGGCACCAGAGACGGAGAGAGCTGCGGACCAGCAGGAATATAAACTTTTGGATTTGATAAATGAACTTGGAAAAAATCAGACTTGGAAAGATAAAATTTGGTTTGGTTTGGAAATGGGGGGTTGGACAGACCCCCCTTTACAGGGAGATTGGGACTTTTCAAGTCTGGAAAGGGGCCGTCAGATGTCTGGAGCTGTGGGGGCTCTCAACTTTGAAGGGAATCTGGAACATGTTTGTAAATATTACATTGAGCCTAGCTTGGACTATGGAAAAGGGATTGTTTTGCTGAAAAGGGTCAAAAACACTACCAAGCTGGAGTTCCCATGAATAAAAGGGAAATATAAAGAAGAGTTACGGAAGGGACATGGAAGTGACTTGAGGGCCTCGGATATAAGATTGCCAGGTTAATGTGCTAGATTAATAGGATAAAAAGGACTGACAAAACCCGGGACCAGGAGGAAGGGACGTTGGATGAAGACTGGATTGCTTTTTTCTTTTATTTTTATCATTAGGACTGTCTTATAAAATTGATGAATGCTAGGAAAATGTTGAAATGAAACTATTTGGCTCTTATAAAAATGTCTAAAGAATTAGGTAAGAATGTTAAGGTTTAGGAGAAGTTGGTAAAAATTAAGATTTAAGTTTTAAAATTTAAGGTTTTCTATAAGATAAGACGAAAATAGATCAAGGTAATGTGATGACAGAATAATATGAATTATGGAAAGGATTTGCTGTGATTGTTATAAAACAGGATACAGGAAAAGGGAGGAGGAGGAGGTCAAGGAAAGAAGGTATTGAAAGTGGAGAATTGGAGAATGATGGTTTTATTTTTTTTTATTTTTCTTTTTCTTTTGTGTAATTTTTAAAAAATTCTTTTTTCAATAAATATCATTTAAAAAAACAAAAACAAAGAAGAAGTTAGTTGAACTTAGAAAGTCACCTTCATAGCTTATTTGAAAGTGGCCAGAAGCATCTTCCTAAGGTCAGCTCCAAATGGTGGCAAGGCTGGTCATTTGCCAGAGTCCAATCTCCCTAACAATGTTCCCACTTGGTGCAGTCTTCCTGGTCTAGACAGGGTGCCGTGTCCAAATCTTGGTGCCAACATTGCATATGGCTGATTAATCTTGGAAATAAAATGGTCTGATTCAGCAAGGCAATTCTTAATGTTCTCCGTTAGCAGAACAAAAGAAGAGGCTTTAGGGAAACTGATTTTCCTTTTTTTCTGCACTTAGTAATGCTTCTGAATACGTCCTCTTTATCAGGGGTAAAATGTCTGTCCAGTTGGATCTTTCAAATTTGCCAAAATGTCTCTGGCTATATTTTCTGGCTGAGACACAGACATAACTCAGCAATATATCACTGCTTCAGTGGCCTACAGGGAGGTATACACCATCATTCCTGCAGTTTTCATGGGGGAGAAGAAGCCCACAGGGGCAGAAAGGGTGAGGGAGTAGCGACGTTCATTGTTGTGCCCCAACATGCCTGCTGGTGTGAATGAAATTTAGCACAATGTGCCGTCGCTGTATCAGTCAAAAAGCCACAGTTCCACAATGCATCAGGTGCCGCAGTGGGAAAGGAATGTTAGAAAATGGAACAGAAGGGTTGGCATAATCAGGAAAACTAATGCAACATCTGAATGTACCTCTAAGTCAGTAACCCTGGAGCAGCCGTGGTTCAGACCAACCCAAGTTTCTGAGATGTTCTCAAAGGCGGCTGCTCTATAAAAATGCATTGCAATACAGTGGTACCTTGGGTTACAGATGCTTCAGGTTAGAGGCGCTTCAGGTTACAGACTCTGCTAACCCAGAAATAGTACCTCAGGTTAAGAACTTTGCTTCAGGATGAGAACAGAAATCACGTGGCAGCGGCACAGCGGCAGCGGGAGGCCCCATTAGCTAAAGTGATGCTTCAGGTTAAGAACAGTTTCAGGTTAAGAACGGACCTCTGGCCCTAGTATTAGGCAGAGTGAGACAACTGCCTCAGGTGGAAGATGCTGGGGGGGGGAGCAGTGGTAGCCACTCCCTTCACCCCCGCTGTTCCCTCAGCTAGAGGACGGCTCTGTGTGCCAAAGTTACTTGTCCTGCATTCAGTAAGTGTCAGGAGTCAAGCATAAGTCAGCAATAAATCACCTGGAGTCAGTGAAGTGAACGCTTTATTCAGAGAAGCCAAAACAGTGCAGGCCTTCCCCATAGATCTTGCCCCAGTGAGGCAATTGCAAGGACTGAAGGTCCCTGCCTTCCCACTGCTTTCTAAAGCTCCTCCTCTCCCAAGTCCTTCTCAAGCAATCTCAGGCTCCTTCGTCTATTCTCTCATTGCTCCACCCTCTTAATTCCTCTCTGTGTTCTGGGAGACCAGGAGAGAGGGGATCTGGTTGCAGCAGGAGGGGGAAAATCCCTGGATTCTTCAGCAGCCTGCCTCGTCTCTGTATCCTGGTCCGCCTCCTCTCCTGTCTCTGGTTCTGGACTGCTTTCTGCCCTAGCCTCTTCCTGCTCACTAAAGCTTGTTGCCTCTCCAGCTTCTGATACCTCCTCCTCCCGGTCTGCCCCCTCTTCCACCTCTGACCACTCATCGTCATCCCAACACCAATCCCCTGGCTCTGAGCCTTCTTCCCCTGGGGGTTCCCCAGCTGGTGCCTGCCCCCCATTCCTCTGCTTCCATCCAGTCCATGATAGTAAGCTAGTTTGGTGCCCTTGAATGTTACTGCCAGAGCTGAAGTCAGATTCAGCTGGCAATCTAGTTGGCTTCCATACTTGGGATTGTGGTGGGCATGTTGTCGTTTGCCTCAAGCAGAAAAATATATTGTGCTGGTCCTGCCTTTTGCTTGACAAAACTGGAACTACCTGCACTCCCTGTCTACCAGATTGGTCCTTTAGGGGGGCTGTAGCCCCTCCCTGAACAAGCTGAACATCTCTCTCCTGGTTAGACAAAACACGCACCAAATAATGCATCTGTCTTGTCAGGACCGAAGCTGCTGTTTATCGCCTCTCAGCCAATCTATTTCTGATCCCAGACGCTGATTCAATACTCCCACTTCCTCATCTAACTCAGATAAAAAAAAGAGACAGAGTCGGGTGTTGTCACCATGCCAGTGACACCTTATGCCAGATCCGGAGTTCAAATTCCTATTTAGCTAGAATATTGATGGATGTCCCCTGAGCGAGTGATTCACCAAACAGACTCAGCTTCCTCTATCTGTAAAATGGGGGTACTGAGGCTTTTTGTTGTGATCAGTGAATGCATTCCTCTAGGACGGATTCGGAGGCAATAGCACAATATCTAGTCCACACAAAGGATTTGGTGGAGGTAGTTTTGCAGCAAGCAAAACAGCTGTTTCGCTCCCCCCCCCTTTCAAAAAAATACAGTGAGTTTGCAGTGCACTTCACTACTGGAGAGGGGGAATGTGCAACTTTCTGTTCACCAACTAAATCACTTTTCAACTACCAATAGAATAGAATACAAGCAAAAGCAAAATGGCATTGATTTGCAGAGAGAGTATAGCTGTCATACTGACTATCGCTCTTTCTTTTTTTAAAAAAGCACCATTCCTGAGTCGAGGTAAGCATAGCTTCCCAAGCATTCAACGTGAAGATGAAGTGTCAGTCTTCGCATTTGGAAACATCGGTGTGTAAGAGACTTTTTCTAGGCTTCACCATTTCTGCACGTGATAGCGGAAGGGGGCGGGTGAGGGAGGTCTATTCAGAAGAAACAAAGAGGGCTTGGAAATTAAACTGGGCAGCCTCTGGTGTCGCAGCTCTGGAGCCGCTGGGCTCAAGAAAAGATCCCAGGTGAATGTTGCACTATCAAGCAATACAGCTGAGAATGGGAGGAGAGGGGAAAAGGCAAGTCAGATGAGGTTCACAATGTCATTGCGCCAGAGGGCATTACAAGGGGAACTGTTTGCAGGCAATGACATTGGGCTGTGCATAGTTTTCCAGCAGCAAAGCCAGGGGTTGAAAAGCTACTGGGAAAAGGTCCTCACTCACCTGGAAGTTCTGTCTCCTTCATTTTTCTCCATAAAAACCACCATTGCCGTTAAGTTTTCACCTGGACCCTCTTAACTAAAACTAAACCTGAAGCATGCACCTGAATTTTCTTTCCTTCGTCCTTCTCCAATGTTTTGGACAACAGCCCTGGTCAGTGGCTGTTTTATTACCTCCGCCTCTCTCCCTTTTGATGCTTTCCCTATTGCAGAAGTATTGACTGTAATCTCCTCGGGGCAGGAACTGATTTGTGCTTATATCCGTCTGCAAAGCACCGTCTGAATAAGAAATAATAATAATAATCTTAGATGCACGAGAACTGGTTGCAGGCATCCATTTGCAAGGGGAAAGCACACTGCTCATGCACAGAGAAACTATTTTCTTCCTGCAGCTTGCTTGGTGTAAGGGGGCGGGAGAGTCCGCTCTAAGGATGAGAGTGCTGTTGGTGAACATGGCTTCCGCGGTTAGCGCTGGCTGAAACTGAATCCTCACTTCAATCTCTAGCAGAAGCAGGCAAACCGTATCTCTGTGCAAGATACATTAGAAGCAAGGCGATGCGAACACACCAGGCAGAGCGTGATTCACAAGGCAGAGTGGGAGAATAATCCTTTGTCGCTGCAGGGAATGCATCTATTTGGGACCACTTGGCCTGATCCTGTGCGATGCTAAGCCCTAACAATTCTCAATCTTTGCACTGGCCCAGCTCCTTGGTTAGACAGCACTTCTCTCTTTCTCCAGCCCTGCTCGTGATTTTTTGGGTTTTTTTCATGTGGCGAATAAGAAAAGTGACCCTATAAAGTAAGCTTGATCCAGGTTGACGGGTCAAAAATACGGGACAACTTAAACACGCTGGTCCTAAATGCAAATTACTTTAAAATCCCTTGAACCCATAGGATCAACAAACCACGCACCACTCCTTGCACTATGAAGAAGTCTTTGCATTTTGAACCTTGCATCAAGAACAGTAGAAGGATGTCTTGCTGTGGGCCTCCAGTTCCTGGCATGTTGATTTTAATGCTGTTTTCTGTTAGAATCCTCTGCAAACACATTGAGTTCCCTCCCTCTTAAACACACGCTGAAACCCCCTCCCCACTCACATGCTTGTAAGAGAAGCTATAAACATATAAGTTACCACTGCTTTACCCCAGGGCTACTCAGCTGCTACTACAGCCTGTATTTCATCCAGCACAGACCGTGCAATCTTTAAGTGGGCGTTCACAAGACCAGCTATTGCACAGGGCATACCTATGAGCCGTTCTTTTGTCTAAACAAGCAAGGTGCTCAGTGGATGGGCTGCCTTCCATTTCTGAGCTCCTACCCACCTAGCAGCAAAATCGGGGAGCGCATTTGACATTCGGAAATGTTCAAAGGACAAAGCAGAGGGTGGCGACTGGGTGCATCGACAGAGTTTGATCTTGCAAAAGGAAACAACAACCCAACGCTTAGGATGGTGTAGCGGATGCAGAACTTTCAAAACCACCGAAGGGTGCGAGAAATATATCATTTTTTAAAGAGAAAAATAGAAAGCACCTACACAACTGGTCCTCTGGGAGAGGGGGACCCAGACCGGGGGGGGGGGGGAGGCCTGCGTTATGAATTAATCCCCTGGGGAACAGGCAGACAAAACAACAACATCTCTTGTATAAAGGGGAAAACATTGAAATCTCCGGTGATGAGGGAGAGGGGGCAGTGAGAGGGGAGCCACTTACCCCACATCAGGGTGAAGAGATGCGCTCTGGGGATGAGGACCAGGGAATACGCCGCCCCGACGTGCAGCAAGGCCATGAGGATGACATTCCTCCAGACGATCTCCTGCCTCTGCCCAACTTTCCCGGGGCTCCTCTCGGGCGCAGGGTCCGCGGAGCTGCCATCTCGCCCCTCGCCGGAGGAGGAGGAGGAAGAGGGGGGCATCTTGGCTTCTTCCTCGACGGCGCCGCCGGCTCCGGGCTTGGACATGGCCGAAGGGCAGACGGGGAGAGATGCCCTCTCTCCCTCTTTCTTTTTACTTTGGCTCTTGTTTCACTGCCCACTCCTCCCCTCTTTTTCTTCTCTCTTTTAGGGTCAGGTTTCTCCCTTACTTCTGAGTTTGCTTTTTTAAAATAAATAAACCCCCCTTTCCTTTTTAAAGATTCCCCTTCCTCCTTCCCAGCACTTTGCTCTGGGGCTACGGTCTACCGGCGGGAGCCTGGTTGCTGGGCAGCGGCGGCAGCATCTGTTGCTGGCATCTCGTCCATGCTGCTGCTGCTGCTGCTCCGGAGCCAAATTCCGCACAGCAACAGAGAATGAAAAAAAAGAGGGAGGGAGGGAGAAAGCGAAGGAGAGGAAAAGACCTGCATAGCTACAGCCAATCAGAATCAGATGCGGCGCTCTTAAAGGGGGGGGGGGGTTGGTTGGTTGAGAGAGATGCACAGCATCCCTGTCTACTATTGCCACACATTGGCCAGACTGAATAGAGAGATATAGTCTCCGTCCAACAAAGAAAGGTGTGTTTGATATATAGCACGTTCAAAGGCAACCTATTGCAGAAAAGGCCCACACACCCCCAGGTCTTTGTGTGGTAGCTGTGGGGTCTCTCTCTCTCTCTCTCTCTCTGTTAAATTGCTGAATGGGTATCTAAAATCCCTCAGCACATGCAGCCGACAACAAAAGGACTTCTCCCTTAAGGCTTTGGGTTCAAAGAGATGTTGACCCCAGTTTAGTCACTGTTTTAAATGGTACATTTTAGCGTTGCTGCTCTTAGCTGACCGGGGCCCTTGTTAGGGGTAGAGTCAGGGAAGTGAAGCCCAGGATCTTTTGTGCGCAGCTCCAGATTTCCTTCCTCTCCTTTGGAAAAAAACCAAACCAAAACAAAACCCCATACCAAAAAAACCACACACACCACAACTTGCTTACAGGGTTCCTGGGACCCCAATCACCCGCCAGCTTAAATTTGCTCAGAGGCCTACATTTGCATCTCTAAGAGTGGTATATGTTTCTAAGTATACATTAGCATATGACAGGAACATTTTCAGCCAATGAGTGCCAAAGACCTGAGTCTTTTAAGAACACACAGCTACACCCTCTCTATAGCCACCCTTCAATAATTATTCCCTGGGCGGCTTACAAACAAAACCGTGCTTAAACAAATATAATATATAATGACTGAAACCAGCAGCAAGGAATAGGAGACAGCAAAAATAAAATAAAAAATAAGATCATTATAACAGAGACAGCATGAAACAGTCTGGGCTTAAAACACAGTTTAAAAAGCCTGAGGGTGGGGAAGGTCTTTAGCACCAATTGACAAGCGTCCCAATTTAATACTGAAAATAAGGAGGGCGGGTGGACACACACACACACACACACACACACACACACACACACACAGCTATATAGGAATGGTGCCAGTGTTGGAAGCCAAACAGTTATATCAACCACAATTTTTTTGTTTTTTGTTTTGCTTCAGTCAGTGTCAAATACATGCCATATGCTTGGGATGTATAAAGCATATGCAGCAGGAATGTGCAGATTATGAAGAACTGATGCAGTTAGTTGTGACAAGAGTTGAAGCTCTAGGCCCGATTGACAAAATAAAAACTGACAAATCTACAATTCTGCGGCTCTGTGAAATCATACACCCAAGAGTTCTCAAAAGAGTTCAAATGTGAAATTGCTGATCTCTTCACACAAAAATATGTAACTTGTCCCTCAGATCGGCCTCTGTACGTGAAGACCGGAAGTCCGCCGTTGGAACACATTTTTTACAAAAGGGTTCTCAAGGGGGTCCTTTAAATTACAGGCTGGTTAGCCTAACGTCTGCCTGGGGAAACTGGTGGAAAGCTAAAGATAAAATAGAATGCAGGAGAACAAGTCTTGCTGCAGCAACTGGAAAGATGCAACGTTTATTTTAGGTTACGGTTGGTGGATGAAATTTCCTCTCTAAACTTTCTCTGAAGGTGCTGTTATGTTTGGTGAAAGGCACATAGACAACATCTGTCCAGTTGCTAGGCTGGAGGAGGCTGTACTTCTGATGACCTGCAGAATACCGTGGTACCTCGGGTTACAGACGCTTCAGGTTACAGACTCCGCTAACCCAGAAATAGCACCTCAGGTTAAGAACTTTGCTTCAGGATGAGAACAGAAATTGTGTGGTGGCAGCAGGAGGCCCCATTAGCTAAAGTGGTACCTCATGTTAAGAACAGTTTCTAGTTAAGAACAGACCTCCAGAACAAATTAAGTTCTTAACCAGAGGTACCACTGTACCGTGGTTTTGTGTGTTCATCAGTGCTGTGGTGGTCCACTTATGCATCACCCAAAAATGAACAGAGACATGGATTTGCTTCTGACCATGGCTATCAGCTGCTTTCAGTCTTGCTTAGCAAGTCAACTTGCTTTCTCAGTGCTCCACAGCATCCTTCTGCCTCACCGCCATGTGGAAGGAAACCAACCAGTGTGGAAGGACCCAGTTGTTGGCCACTCTCTGTTCTCCTTGGAAAGGAAGAAGTTTTTAGTCTTGGCTTACCCCGTTGGCACACCTTCATATATCCACTCAGGTGCCATGTGCTTTCTAAAATTAGTTTTTATTAAAGTTTTTTTGTGTTACAAAACAAACAGAGAAACAGGGAAAGGTGCATCTATTGCCTTCACTTACAAACACTAAATGTTCATTTACATTCATTGGGAGGCGCTTCTGTCAGTAACATCTTAGGTTGGAGGAAAATAGGGGGAGAGAGCTGGGGGTACTGTTTTTTGTTCTATTGCCTATTGTTAGTGTAGGGGTTTGTGTCAACACCACATGGTTAGGCCCTTTGTTTAGGTATGTATTTATTTTTATTGATAACGTAAGCGATTATCTTGGCTGGTTGCATTCAGTTGATTTCAGTGTGGCTTGTTTGTGTGTGGAGTGGGGGGGGGTAGGTTGTTGGATCATATTGATTGCCGTGTGCTTTGACATCACGGGCCGTCGACTGCACAGCCAATGGCAGCAGCTGGAGGGGCATCATCACCACCACCTCCTTTGACCTCACAATGGTGGGCAGAGCTCTGCAGTGATTGGTTCCGTTGCTTGTATATTATGAGGAATATGTATAGCCCACTCCTTATCTGTAGTGATACCAGGGAAAGGCAGGGACTGTGTAGCCTATAACCATATAGGACCTGGGACACCAGGGTTCAAATTTGTGGGAATGTTCAGGGATGCAGGAGAGGATATATTGTTGATTATAGCCTTTCCAACTTGTGTTAACAAGTTCACAATTTTAGCAGAGTAACATCCCCCTTTTTAAACTCACAGCGGATGCGTTTGCTCAGGCTCGCTAAAGCCTCTATAATAACTGTTCTGGTATTTTCCCCTTATTCCCTCATAAATGATAAGACACGACACAGTCTTCTACAAAAGTATAAAAAGAGTTTACTCACATTCTGTTCACAATCGGAATCCAGAAGGCAGACTTAGCTTAGAAAAGTAACATACACCTGGAAACTATCTCATAAAGAGACAGTCCCTTTGTCCTCTCTTGGCTGGAAGCATCTTTGGCTAAGCAGATGTTGCTTCTTCGATGCATGTAGTCACAGAGAGAGAGATGGCTGCCCTGCCCTGTGCTTTTGTCGTTACCTGCACAGGTGAGGACATGCCCACCTCTAGCCACATGCAGAGGAAGTCTGTCCCAGCTCAGAAGGAAACAGGAAGTTTACCGGCTGGCTGGACATACATTCCTCCCCATGTGTAAACATGTTCACTCTAGGAATGTTGTACTTGACTGGTCTTGTGTTTCACATCCCATAAAATTCCCATTCAGTCATGAACCACGCTGGCTGAGGATAAAATGGGGAGAGGAAGAACTAGGTACACGGCCTTCGTGTCCTTGGAGGAAAGGGGGGATATTAATGTAATGATAAAATAAATTAACACATAAATAAAACATGGTTCGTCTGGAAAGCTCCAGTTCCTCTCAAGCCAGTTCCTCTTGAAGTCAAAATTCTAATATTATTGGGACAATAATGAATCAGTTTGACTCAGAAGCCCAGATAACATTTATGCCACTCCTCCCCTTCACGCCCGCCCCTTCTATAAAACGATGTTATCCACCACTGTTTACTGGCCTGGCCTCATTTATTTTATCCCCTCTATCACATTACAGAGCTGTCCTGGAAGAAAAATGACAGCGCCTCTCCCGCTCTGTATCCCAGCTGCGGGATTTGTTAATACACAGTTCATGAGTATCAGATCAGAAGGATGACCCAGATTCGCAGAGGAGAGAAAATAGTTCACTGGAACTAGAGGACAGCTTCATCTGGGGCTAGCTAAGAAGCAAGATGGAGAAGGCAGTTTTAACGGAATTGGCTTCCTTTCGTGCCTTATTTTTGGCGACAGCTTTAAGATAACACTGATTCTGTGGTCCACGTGTTGAACAATGACTAGGGAGCCTGGGTTTCAAACCCCCACTCAGAAAGTTTCCTGGGCATGGGAGTGGGAAGGAAACCTGTGGCCTTCTGAGATGAAGATGTACTCCACCTCCTATCAACCCCATCCACCATTGCCAATGGACACAGATGATGGGAGTTGTAGTCCAGCAACATCTAAAGGGCAACAGATTTCTGGCTTGTAATTTACTAGGTGATCCTGGGCTTGTTCTTAACTCTCAGCCCACCTCACTTTCCCAGGAGTTTTGAAGATAAAACAATACTGGGGGCGGACATGTGAGACTCATATATGCTCACTTGAGTTCCTTGAAAGGGGGGGGTGTGGAGATGATCAACATAATGATCAATACTAATATTCTTGGTATTTGGAAATTAGGTGCAACAGCTGTACTGTAGGCGGTTGCTTTTATTTTGCAATTTTATAGCTGGCTACTGAAGTGCGGGTGGCGCTGTGGGTTAAACCACAGAGCCTAGGACTTGCCGATCAGAAGGTCGGCAGTTCGAATCTCCATGACGGGGTGAGCTCCCGTTGCTCGGTCCCAGCTCCTGCCAAC